CTACCGTTGCAACTCTTTTAATGAACAAGGATTTGTGCCAACAGAAAATATTTTCGATACACCCGCGAAGATTCTGCAGGAATGGGGAATGGACTGGTTCTTCAGATATGTTTTTTATGATAAGTGCAGGAGGTGGTAGTACTAAGACAAAAATAAAGGTTCAGGCTGTGACCACTTTCGCAAAAAACAAGCCCGGCAGAAATGTTTCAGAACATTTTTTACAATTTATTCACCTGCTACCAAAATCGTAGGGTTTATTGCAGCATTCCCATCAAGAACCAATATTTCATTGTTGGTTTTTGGAAGAGAGAGAGGGACATAGACCATGTGCAAAATGGCAAAAACCCTTTGATGAAAAAGAAAAAAATGGAGACCTCAGTTAAAGAAAGAAAGAGAGATAGAAGGGCCAAGAGGAGCAGCTGTGTGTGGGAGGATCATAATAGTGAACAGAGAAGGGGAACTGCTAGGGATGAATGTAGCTTTGATAGACAAAGGAATCTGAATGTCTGCAAGCACTTCTTATAGTGATCATGTGCACATAAAGTTGTCGTGACACTGGCTCAGGATCTACATAAGTTCTGTTTGTTTACACCCAGCAGAGGGAAAAAAATCAGCCCGCCTAGCAAGAAGCCTGAATGAGATTTTATGCATAAATAAGTTGGCACAATTAAACTCTTGTGTGTAAGTGTTTGTGTGTGTCCCTGGAGTGTCAGGGCATTGGCAACAAACACTGAACTTGAAATAATGAAATACTGTTACTGAAACCGGCTGCTTAGTCCGCTGGGTGAACCCCTGCTCAGCAAAAAGGTGACATCATTATTTCTGAGACTCATCTGTAGCGCTTAAAATCGATTTCAATCGATCCATTACTGCATTATTATGATGTTTCAGCATGAAAAGTAAGAAAAAAAATATAAAAGTTCATGGCATAAGTGCAATATTTGTCATCGTGAGAAGGAGCACTTCAACTGAAATGACAAGTTGTTGAAAGCTATGAGAAAATGCTCTGAAATAATAATGAAGGGCATAGTAAACAATGCTGATCATTTTTTCAGCACTTTTTGGGTAATCCTGATTTAACCTGAATTCACTCCGAGATGGGGATTATCTCAATACTCATATTGTGCATCGCTCCTCAAAGTGAAAGACTGGCACCTGCTTCATTTTTTTGGGATGAGTAACAAGTTGCTTCATTAAAACGATTAAACTCAACTGAAAGCTTATCCGCTTAACTTTCCATAAATTTACGAAAATGTCACAAGGTTTTCATCATAAAACCTTGTGAGCTGCATTCAGTCAGCCGAGGTCAGTTGTCATGATGTTGTTCCTCCCTTGTCTTTTTCAGTGCTTTGTCTGGTTTCAGAGTTAGGTGCGAGCTCATCCTTAGAACAGTTTAATGTCACACAAACCTCAGATACTTACCTTTGATTGTATTTTAAATGCTGAAAAACAACTCAAACTACTTACCTCACATGCAGATAAAATAGGCTGATTTCTATACACACACGCTCCATGTGCTCCATGTGGAGGGCAATTTGAGGAAAGGAAAACTGCCTTAGAAATACTTGTAGAGCAAAAGCACATTACAAGCCTAGTTTGATGTAAGAAGTTGTTAAATGATTCACTCTGCAGCAGGATTTGTTCAAATAAGGCCTTCATGGACGAGTGATCAGACAAAAACCTTTCTCATTAAAACTTTTTGTATGCCATGAGCAAAGGTATGTCAGGATTAAAAGGAGTCTAAACCTCTAGAAAAAGAACCACTGTTACATTTGAAAGATTGATCATTGAGCTTGTGGGCTCGTTTAACATTTTATTTGTAGGAAAAGATGGATACTAAACTCCAAAGCAAATGTCACATGGCCATTAAAAGACCACCTGACATGTCTCTTTTGCTTCCAACTATTCAAATATAAGCCAAAAGTCTTAAACAAAAGATAATGAGAAACTAATCATAAAAAGGGATGCTAAACTTTTAAAGAAAGAGACTGGATGATGAGTGGAAGAACAGGCAGCCCATGGACGCTCTATGCAGGTGGCCGGGGCTCTGCTCCAGTTCATACCCCTTTCCTGTGCAGCCTCCCCAAATAAAGGCGACTAGCGCCAAACCCAAGAAAAACAAAACACAGGAAGTGATAACAGGAAGAATCAAGCTGTAAAACCATCATGACTGCTGGGATTGACTCCCACTACCTTTTGAGCCTTCTAGGAATTAGTGGTGTTGACAGTGTATAGATGGATTTATTAATAGATTTTTGAAAGTGTAATACATGGAAGTATAAATATAATATTGTAGAAATGTATTATTTTTTTCTTTGGTTTATGTAATGTTTTGGACTCTTGACATGATCCTTTGCCGACCAGAGAGCACATCATCTCTTGCATAAAGACAATCCTTCTAGAAGAAACAGACAGTGTTTTTTCGGTCTTTGAGTGTAGCTATTGGAGTTTTGCATGATAATATTCGTGACATCCTTTGTTTCTGTTTATCTCTACAAGTCTTTAAATGCGTCCAACCAAAAAATGCTCAAGAGAACTGGACTAAATGTTTTTGACTACCAAATACCAAAGTTTGGTTAATGCGTGGACAATTGCCACACAGTGGACATAGTGGGGCATTTATCAGGTAAATCAGGAATTATACATTTTCCATAGAGCTAACCATCCAGGAAGAAGTAACTGTTCATGTCATTGTGACAGTGTTGTATTGGCTGCTCCATAATGCCAGCCTCAAAAGGCTAAACATCTACTTCAGCTAAGAAAATTGAATTCCTTAATTATTCCTTGATTTACAGTGTTATGATCACTCCCCTTGTCATTTCTTCTACTTTGAAATGATAGATTTACTGTGTGAGACCACTGCTTTGACCATTTTAGTATTTTATTTCTTGCCCTGTTTATATCTTTGACGGCTGATGTTTACAGTCCTTCCAGATGCAGGTTGATGCCTGTGTGGGCCATCTAATGTGTGAAATCTGTGAATAAATTATGGAATCGGAACATGTCCCCTGGCTTGTGGCACCATCAGATGGCTAGATGTTTCTCTGCCTAAATTTAGAATGGCTGCCTCTTGACTCTCATCACCTGGGGTTAAATTGCTTAAACCCCTCTGAAGGTGAAAAATATCACTTACTTCTCTATGCCTATGTTTGATGTGCAGTGTGTTTTCAGGCAGGATAAGGTGCTGTGCTTCTGTCGTCTGGATGATTTTTTAATATGGGCACGTGTTAATACTGGTGAGATGTTCCTGAGCAAACCTGGTCTATCACAAAACATAGAAGGTGTAAATTGAATTAGATGACTCACTTCTGAACTAAAAATCCTGCAGTCTGTTGTTTTATTTGCATCTGTATACAAAACTGAATGAGGGGAAAGATGTGCATGCACTGTACACCGTACTTCAATACATTCATTCAATAGGGCAAAAGTCAACGAGTGATAATACTGGGCTGTAGTCTTTGTTTTCAGTAAATTGTGTGAATTAATCTCGGGTCCTATGTGTATGGTGTTGACATTTAAAGGCTACTCTGACAAAAGCGGTTCTCATCATGCTCAGGAAACCCACATCAGCAATCGAGAGCAAACTAACTGTTTACTGAATAGATCACTGTTATTGAGTGAGAGGAAACAAATGAGATATTGTGTTGGTTTTCAGATAAAGTTTCTAGTCTGACACACCTTGGACCAGGACAAATACAAATAAAAAACTCAACCTGATTAATTAGGAAAGACTTTTTCATCCTACATTGTCAGATTTATTTTCCTATTCCAGATTTCCAGTTTTCAAACACCAGTTTGGATACAATACTGACAATAGTTTATATTTAAGTACATCCAAGTGAAGCTGAGGGGCATGAATTGCCCCGTTCTGGACATTTCTACTTTTCAAGTGGTTTCCTTTTCCTTCTTGTATTTCTATCATTATTTTACACATGAGGGAAAGAAACATGTAAGGCAAAGCCATATAACATGATTAGTTTTAGTAATAACCATGTAAGTACACTGACCCATTCTCTAGTGTTGCAATATTCAAAACCACTGCCAAGAATGTCATGATGACTTGAAATGCAGAAATGGGTTTGCACTTCTCAAACCATGTTGCTGGAGTGAATGCTTTGTGACATGACTTTCTGGGAATATATCTAATTTAAAACAACAGATGAAAGGAAGCTTGCAAGTTGAAAAATCACCAAGAATATGTTATCAGGAATCTTTTCTTTAAACTATTCATCATTTGACTGGTGTAGAGAGCAGAAGGAGGGGGAAGATAGCAGCAAGTAGAGTAGATATGGAGGTACTGAGGTACAAAGAGAAACAGCAGGTTCCCACCTACACATATTTTGCATTTGACCGCCTCTGTCACTCACAATATGACCCATCTTGATCAGTAATGACAACCAAGTATTTAAACATACGTGTGCTTGTGCCTGTTGAATTTAGCTGATCAAGTGGAAACACCGCACCCCACCTCCACCCCTTTATTTATTCAGCCACACAGGACCAGCTTGGCTGTGCCACCTGACATCAGAGGCTTTGTTCTGCTGAATCAAATGGCAGCTGTTAGACAGTCCCCGACTCCCAGCACTGACATGAGGAGTCCATCACAGACCATTAAACCTACAGCTTGAGGCAAAGGCATGGGAGGCAGGAGGATAGGGAAACAGAGGCCCCACGAATGAGTCAAGACAAGGCTTGAAGCCCCTGAGAAACAGTCTTCTTATAGTGGCTTCTGCTGATTTAAGACACTGCCATACCGTAGAGACTGAAAGACAGCAGACTACTACTCTGGGTTTAATTCACTCACGGGAGAGATGTTTCTTTTTGCTATATGGGCAAAATCTGGGTCAAAGAAATGGCAATAGGAAACACAGAGCATTTGTTTTACCTTTACATATGAGACACAAGGGATTGTTTCTGCTTAAAATGTGCTTTGTTGATACGATGCAACATTTCGTCACATCGTCACTCTCTGGCCTTTTTCTCCATCTTCTCCCTCTCAGATCTGCTTTGTTAATCTGGACCCGCAGAGAACTGACTGCCGTGAGGACAAAAACATCAAGGTGAGCCCATTCCTCATCCACAAGCATTCGTGCCACCCTCTCATTTCTCCTTCTCTTCTTTCTTCCGTGCCCACTTTTCATCCCCCCTGAACTCTGTTCATAGTATTTCACATGAACATGCCGCCTCAGTTGCCATGGATTCAAGATCATTACCCAGAATTAGAGGGCTGATTTGTTTAGATGATATGCAGATTTTTCAGCCTTTTGTAGCTGCTGGTGACAGTGGCGGCAATAAGTAATCATTCCACATGGTTCAATGCTTCTAACAAAAGGGATTTCATAATTATGTCTCTGACTTTAACCACCATGCTTTGCCGTCACTTTTGAAATATCATAAAGGTTTTCTTTGTCATTATCAAACATTATCCCTGTGCTCGGCATGTGTCTTGCAGAAATTGGCATCAGTGTCTCCGGACCTGCCAAAGCTTGTTGAATTACTGACTGTCCACCAGCCCAAAGAAAATGAGATCCTACTGCTCGGCGGGTTGGAAGCCTCAGACACTTGCCAAGCACACCCACACTCCCCCCTGCAGGTGAGTCTGCACTAAGCTACAAATCTTACCAAATGTTTCTGGATTTTATTTCTGCATTAATTGTGTTTTTTTAAATCATTGATGTGCAGCATCGTGCGTTTAAGGTGTGCTCACACTTGTAGGCTTTTTGTTCGTATATGGTATTTCAGGGCGGAAACCAGAGGAGCACGGGTGTGTGTCTGCTTCAGTGTTCTGGGAGGAGGCGCTCCACGCCACCCGCCAGCATCGTCTTCGAGATCAAGAAGTTCCTCATAGGCATGCAGTGGGGCAAAGAACGTCAGTTTCAGCAGAGACGAGCAGCAGGACAGCGAGTTGATGACGACACCAACCGTTCCATCTCGTCCATAGAGGAGGACTTCCAGACGGCGTCAGAACACCTCGGAGATGACAGCGAGGATGATGGCTTGAGAAACGGTAAAAGTCTTTTGGGGTTTTTTTGGCTGACCTTTTTCATTTCAGATCAAATTATACATTAATCATTGTTCGTGACTGATAATGTAGAACACAAAAGGGAAGAGTACAGTATATTAGTTTCCTTCTTGGTCTCTAAACTGATGATCTTAAAGCAAATGCAACAGCTCCGACCGGACAGTGGGGGGTAAAACTTTCTGGGCATAGCATTTAACTAAAAGATGAAGCTGCGTTCTGATGAGTGTCTTCATTTTTCAGTCATTGTCTTTCTCTATTTTTTCGTCTCTTCGCAGAGCCAGAGAGTGGCGACCTGGGAGAGAGCTTGGTCGAGTCTGCTGCACAGAAGCACTGTGTCAGACTTGCAGGTCACAGGGGACATATGGCTCAGCGTCTGTACCGAGAGGATGCTGACGCAAAAAGGGAATGGCATCCACAAGCAAGCAGCCATACGAAGGAATCAGCTGGTCACTATGCTACCAATCTGGCAGAGTCTGTACTGCAAGATGCCTTCATACGACTCTCTCAAGATGAAACATCATTTGTGTCTGAGGCAGCTGTCAGTGTGTCTCTTGCCAGGTGTCCTTCCAGCTCTGCTGTTCCATCAAAGACCAAAGAGCCTTCCCAACAGCGTACTTGCTCTTTTGAACTTCCCAAAATAGTCATAGTTCAGAGTCCAGACAGCTCTGACGGAGCTGCAGAGTGGCCAGAGCCACAGGCATCTCATGTGCATGACCATGATATGTCTGCAAAAAACAAACAAATGCCAGAAAACGGGACTCAAGCTCAAGCATCCCAACTCAGTGGAGGACAAAAACATGTGGGAATGGCTTTGGCCTGTGCTGCCAGCATTATTGGCACAATTACTAGCCCACAGCTGACTGAAAAACTCACCCTAGAATCAGCGTCTGAAGAACACATAAATGATGATCTGCAGAAGGAAGAGGAAAGGGTGGACTACTCTGTCTCTTCAGCTGTGTGCGGTATGGCTCAAGTAGCTGGAGCAGTAGCAGCTGTGGAATTAACGGAGGGCTCAGTCGGATGTGACGATTCTGATGCAGAGTCCACTGAAGTCTACACAACGTCAGAGGGTCTGATGTCTGCTGCCAAGGCCTCTGCAGCATTCACACTACACTGCAGCGTAGCAGAGGGTACGAGCGTTGAAGCATTTCGAGCTAACATTGCCGAAGTCTTGCACAGGGAAGCTGCTGAGGTGCTGACTCAACCACAAGGCTACAAGAGTGTCGCACACCTGCTGGAGACCACGCATAACAAGATAGTGGATGGAATCACTTGTCCTAAGAAATGTTGCATGGATGAGAGCGAGGTTGACGACTTAATAAATGAAGTAGCAGACAGCCTATTCAAGCATGCTTTAGATAAGGCAAAGAAGAAAAAAGAGCTGGAGGGTGCTGGGAAAGAGGCTCCAAGTCTCCAAGTGTTTCTACAGGACAGTGTGAACAACTTGCTGTTTGATATTCTTTGCTTGACGCAGAAAAAAATCAGCCATATCTCCAGCTGCGAGCTAGGGGCTGACCCAACACACGAAGCAGATAGTTGCAGTATTGAGAACTCCACTACAAAGGAAATAAAGGATCCATCAGTCCAGTTACAATACTTAGTTAGCCATAGTCACTCCACTGATACAGACCATCTAAGTGAAATGCTACACTACACAGATAAGCTTCCCATACTTCCGGGGCAGAGGCAGAAAACTGTCCTGGAGGATGCTGTTACTGCACCTCTCTCCTCAGAGCACTCCAAAGAGCAACAGCAGCAGTCATTATACCGACAGTCAAAGTCCAAAGACTTGTCAGATCAGCAGCAGATCGGTGGCACTGTTAGAGAGCCTTTAAGTGAAATCTCCATTCACAGCTCAGAGAGGAGAGGCAGGCTAGTAACAGGCAGTGACAGCAGACAGGCCTCCCTTACCCCACAGTCCTCCCTGAATTCTTGCAGCTCTCTGGTTTCTCTGAGAACAGACTCTGATTGCAGGACGCCCATTACTTGCTATGCTGATGACTTGGCCTCCACAGTTGTGTCTATGGCCACAGAACTGGCAGCCATCTGTCTGGAAAATTCCACCGGGAAACAGCCTTGGTTCTGCGCCCTAAAGGGAGCATCTACCGAAGGGCCAGAGACCTACTTGATGCCAGCTTGCCGCACGGTTCTCAGGAGGAAAGAGGGTCAGAGCAGCAATGCCACCTCCAGGAAACATCGAGCACCACGGCTCAGTGAGATAAAGCGGAAAACAGAGGAGCAGCCAGAGCTAATGGAGCGGCTAGTTAACCGGGTTGTGGATGAGTCAGTAAACCCAGATGAGCCACAGGACCCTTTTGCTCTATTTGCCTCTGAAGTCACGGCCAGGATCATGAACTGCCCTGAACTCAATGTGGTGGATACCTCCAAAACAGGCCAGCAACGCAGCAGGCTGCAGTGTGAGAGGTGGAGCCGCGGTAAGGCATCTAGTTATGAGAGCATTCCAGAGGAAGATGCAGACTCCTCAGGCACACCAAACACCCTGGGCCTTGGCAGTCGGTTAGGGCAAAACCTGAGCCGTGGTAGCTCGATCTCTAAGCAGTCAAGCTGTGAAAGTATCACAGATGAGTTCTCGCGGTTCATGATAAATCAGATGGAGACTGAGGGCAGAGGATTTGACCTTCTGCTGGATTACTACGCAGGGAAGAACGCCAGCAACATCCTGGCTGCAGCAGTGCAACAGGCTGCCACGAAGAAAAATGGCCATCTTAATGTCAGGGCCTCTTCCTGTCTGTCCAAGCAATCTAGCACAGAGAGCATCACAGAAGAGTTCTACCGGTTCATGCTTCGGGATATGGACAAAGAGAACAAAGAATATGGCATTACCAAGACTAAAGAGTGGAGCAACAGCCTTTTCCCCCCTTCACCTAGAACACCTTTCTGCATTCGCCAGTCCTCTGTCCCAGACAGGCGCTCCTCAGACTCACGTCTCACCGTCAACTCACCCATAAAAGCCAACTCCTTTGACGGATTTGCCCGTAATGTGCACGGAGACACACTCAACATCTACCCAACCAACTCCGTGTCAGCTACAGGACTGTGTAAGTCGGACTCGTGCCTCTACCAAAGGGGTAAGACTGACCAGATCACAGACATGCTGATCCATGAGACCTGGTCAAGTTCCATTGAGTCTTTGATGAGGAAAAACAAGATAATTACTGATCCAGAAGACAGTATTGAGTTGGAGGCTTCTGGGGACCCCCAGCCTCATGTGCAGCAATTTGCCAATCGACTGGCAGCTGACATTGTAGATATTGGCAAGTCTGCGCTTGGAGGACAGCAAGATGTAGCTGGGGGAATGCCCGGGTCACATTCACAGACCAACATCCCTGTTGGTGAAAGGAGAAGGGGGTTCAAACAATCTCACCTGACTTGTGGTCGGAGTAGGTCCAGCCATGAGCAAGCTGGCACTGGCGTGGTGAGCGGGGCGAGTGACAGCAGTGCTCCTTGCTTGAAGGGTCCCAGAGACGTGCCACTGATCCATATTGAGGGAGATCAGAGGGTTGAGGAGACTCTTTCAAACCCTGAAAGGACAGAAGGAGGGCCCTTGGAACCATCCACAGACACCATGCATGTCGACAGAACTATTGCCAGCAACTCAAGGTATTTCACAACCCGCAGTCTGCTTTTATAACGCAATTATGGACATGAGAATTAGATATCACTATGAGAATAGTGAAGATAGCGAGGGTAGTGATATTTGACACAGTTATTTTATAAAACAAGCTTTACAATAAATAAAGCCAGAGTAAATAAAGCCAAGCTCTGCAGTGTGCTAAATCTATTCTTAGAGCTCAATCAAACAGGCACACGCAGGATCTATTGACTGAGAAAACTGATCTATTAGGAGTGTTTGAGATAAGAACAAACCTTTGGCCAGGCTTTGACTCACACTGTTTGGATGATGTACGGTGTGCAGAGGTATTTTAGTGGCTTCATCTTTTATCCTCCGTGGGCCTGTAGAACTCTCTTTAATCTGTGCAAACTGCACCCACTGTTTGGATAACACAGTGAAACCTCTACACACACAAAGGTATTTAGAATACAATGACAAAGCTAAATAAAATTACAGAGGATATGGGTGCTATCAGTCTTACATGTCTTATTCAAGACAGTTCAAAAGAAAAAATCATCAAAGTGTCACGATTCATTCTAATTCAAAGAGCAAAGGTGTTGTGAGTGTTATTTCCCCCCACAGATTCATAGGCTCTCTAATAGGATGTAAGTAAATGGGAACATTGAAGCATAGTGCAGATGACTTCAGAATGAAAAGTGGAAGGTTTTTATACAGATGGAACAGAAATTGTACATAGTTTTAAGCTTATAAATACTTATATTTGTTCTTAGTCTGGATTCAAAACAATATGAGATTTTATCAATATCTTTTCTTTGGCAGAACATGATACTAAGCCTCTAAGACATTGTGACATTAGACCATTATCTTCTGCTATGGCTTATAGGTCTAAGTTTGATAGGCTTTGTTGTTATCACTGGCATTTAGTGTCCTTAAATGGGACTGTATGTTTTTTTATGTCTGAACTATGGCCGATTCCTTTCAAATTGTCCATACTGTTCACTGTTAACTATTTCTTTGTCTATATTTTTCAAATAATGGTCTTTTGGTGGGTCCACTGTTGTCCTAGGGACAAATTTTCCAAAGACAGAGGCAGTTTGCAGAAACCTTGGAATGGCAGAGATGAACGGTATAAAAAATTATGATTTGAAATGTTCAACTAAAGTGCTTACAAATTCGACTACAGAATTTTTAACAGATCTTAATCTCTCAAAAGTGTAGAGGAAACTAAAGTAAGGTCAATGAAGTTTTCCAGTCCTAAAAAATGTAAAAAATCCATCCAAAATCCAAACCTTTCAAATGTTGGGATGACAAATGATGGTTTTGACAATGAATATGAAAGACAAGTTGGAAGAATTCATGTTCACCAAGTAAATGAACGAAAAATCCACCAGTATCCCAAGACACCAGATATTCACCGGACATGCATCTTACTTGTAATACAGAAACAAGTGAAGTGCAACTGTTAGTCCCTTGTGAAGGAGTGGAACTCAGTCACTTGCCTATTCAATTAAATGTGATTTCCCTCTAGAATTGTTGAAGACGGAAGCCCTCAAACATCTAATTATGTCTTAATTTAATAACTCCCTCAACCCCAACAAAAAAAGGAAACACAGAAAAGCCAGCAGAGCTCATGAGAAATGCTGTTTGCTGATGCATGAAAGATAATGTAATAAATTAGCTTTCTATTTATGCACTACATATTTATTTACATTTCTAAAGGCGTGTCAAGTCTAAGGAGGGATTGTGTAATATACAAAATTGAGTAAATTGTCCCACTTGTGCCTTCTAAAATATGTAAAAGTCTTAACAAAATCGAGTTCTTGGCAGAACATGGACAGTCATGTAGCTTGGATGGTAAGCCACAACACCTTGCGGCAGACACTGTGTGCAACAAGTTGCTGGTCACTCCCACCATTCTGCGGTTTGCTCTCCCCAGCAGCGAGAGGGACAGGCCTGTGGCGATGGCTGCAGTAGTGAAGAGGGACAAGCGTTCAATGAGCGCTAGCAGTGAAGAGAGCATGGGGAGCTGGTCTCATATAACCCCCGAAGATGACCCCCACGAGGAGACCAGTAGTTTTATCCAGCTGAGTGAGGGGTCAGTAACCGGTGCTCCTCAATACCGCTCCAGATGCTGCTGCTCCCACCCTCACACCACTCTCATTGGCCCATTGCTACTGACACTTGTGTTGTGCCCTGCCAGTGCCAACTGACTCCCTGCTGCCGCATTCTTCTTACCTGCTAAAGCAGTAAATGCAAAACGTCGCACCGCAAAGCCATAAAGGGCTAGGCTCTTCCTGTAGTCCAGACTACGTCCAGCTGTAGCTGCAGTGATATTACAGAGCTGTGATGCCAGGAACTAATTCACTACATCACCCTCTGCTCCATCAGATTCTCATTTGCAGCTAAAGAGACAAAAAAAGACAAAAGTTTGATATCCTACTTTTATAAAAAATCAATTTAAAAAAAGCTAATTTAGTTGATATAATGCCTTTTACAGCATCTTTTTAGACTTCCATTTCTAAAGCTAATATTTTACCAGAGAAAGAAGAGGTTTTATGGTTCCATGTTTGCAGCGTAACACGTTATCAGGTTAACTGCACCCCCATGACACTTGCTGCTCCTGGCAAGCTATCCATCTACCTGCTTATTTTAACTTCACCTCATTCCTAATCCATGTTGTGACACAAGGGTATGGCTGCCAGCTTTACCCGTCCACCCAACCCACCTAAACTACCTCCAGATCTACTCATTTCCATATTTTCAGGTGGGCTCACTGTCAGACCAAACTCACCAGCCCCCCGGCTTCAGCATTCAGCTCTGCTGCGAGTGCTATCAACCAACATGGCGTGCATCTCCGTGCTTGGTTATTATTCTCTTCAAAAGTTCAGATCATCGTACATTTGTTGTGACCTGTTTTCTTTTGTTTGTTTGTTTTTTTGTTTTGTTTTTTTATGGCAGGAATGGGACCAGCAGCACATCCAGCCTTGGTGGGGCTGACCTGGACGCTTTTTCTGAGGTGCACACTCAGAGTACAATAATCAGGTATTGCTCAGATATTTCACATTATTGAGTCCCTCTCAGGTATACTATGGCATCTTTTTTCAATTTCTGATATGTGTCTGTCCTCACAGAGAGGAGGCAGAGAAAGGCAGTCTGGCAGGAACCAAGGTTAATGTTGTTGGTAAGTGTTGTCAAGGCTTTTTGTCATGTAATCTGTATGTTAACACCTGTTTAAGCTCCAAATGATAGACTGTAGAAAACTCTTTGAGACTAGAATTTGTTAAGATCCTAGCTGATTTTAATGTTTAATTAATTGATTCTAATTAATAGTTCACTATTGTGTCAGTGTTTAGTCGCAAAATTTCGGGTTTCATTTCTGATTTGCAGCTTGTAAAAGCGAGCCAATCACGGTTTTTCAAGAAAACTTCCATCTGTCCCAGCAAATTCTGATAAGAATACAGCTACAGTGTTGGGTCAACTACTGGAAAAAACAAAAAAATCTAAACAAATATGACGAGAAATTGGAATAAATTTTCTTCAAAAAGGTTTTACTACTAACTTGCGTGACCGTTGAATCAATTATACATCAATACATTATATAATGTAAATTTATATATTTCTGCTTACACTCCAATCAGATGTATGCAGGACCACTGTGCAGTAATTGCTAATATAACTACATAGTGTAACACAGGGATTATCCATAAGTATGTCCCACTACCTTTCAGAAAGCGCAGCAAGTCCAGCGGGCAGCTGTAGCAGCCTCAAGGAGCTCTTAGTGTTAAACTGCGACCTCGAGCAGGAGTGTGTGAACTCAGAACTCAGAGTTGCTCTGCAGTGGATCGCTGCTTCAGAGCTGGGACTCCCTGCTCTCTACTTCAGGAAGTCCAAAGATAAGTGGATGGCAAAGGTATGAATAGCAAGGCAAAAAGAGCAATAAATGAATAAAACGGCTAATTTCTGCTGTTCGTAGAGATAGAAAAAAAATACTTTTGATTACTTTTAATAGGAGAGTCAATTGATCAAATTACGGAAACATTTATACACACGTGAATTCACCACCTGATAGTGCTGGATTTTCATGTGTTTTTTGTTTTTTTAGTTCCAGAGGGTAATCCACCTGATGTCTCAGAAGGCATGGCGAATTGCAGACCTGTTCAGCGCTGTGGTTCAGTTCTGTCAGCTACATGAGAACGAGGCCGGAGCGGGCAGTTCTCTCCAAACCAGCCTGTTTGATTGGCTTTTGGAGACCCTTTAGGACAGACAAAACGTATACTCACTGCAAACAACAACTAAAAAATGTGCTTGCTAAAGTCTCGGACATTTCCAAATGTCTTTAACAGTTCTGAAGTATCTCCAACTGCAAGCTGAAAGCACAGCACAGTCTGCTTACTTGAGAAATGATTACGTCTTTCCTGGCCCATTAAGGTGAGTTGTCTGTTGGCAGAATGAGTGGACCAGTCTCCCTTTAACTGTATCTGTTTTCAGATGTCTCTCTCTTGCGCATTGCACATAAATACAAAGCCAACAAGGGGTGTGTGAGTTGGTCATTCCTCATGGAATGCATGAACTCTCACGCAGGACTTTGGAACAGGTTATATCTGCTCCAGATTATTTATGTAGATGTATTATTTAGGGATTCGCACTGACAGATTCTACTTTTATTTATTTATTGCAAAAGAACACAAATAAAGCAATGAAAAGTAGGAAAATCAGGTTAACTTCTCCACACAAGTCTAAAAATTTTTTCTCAACACTGACAAAAAGAAGCTGTTCAGATCAAAGACAATAAAAAAAACTCTGTTATCTTCCCCCATAAATGTGCACATTGCTTTAAATAAGCAAAGAATTAACATCTTTGTTGTATTCATGGGCCACTTCTGTTGTGACTGTGAAACTCAGTTCTAATTAAGTATGTGATTTTCTTGCTGTTACTTGATAAATAATTATTTTGGATAGCTGTGCTGTACATACTGTAGATTTGGAACTGCTGCACCTTGGAGTAGTGGACTGCTCATTTTAGCTTTTACTATGTCCTAAAGACAGAGTAAGGTTTGTAATGTTAAATTTGTATATGTGGATATGGTCTCTACTTAGTGGTAATCTAGTGTTACATCAGCATAGGGGGGGGAAAAGCACACGACTCAGCTGTAAACTCTGTCACAGTAGAACTGAATGTATTTCTCTTTTGAAATCAATAAATCTATGTGATGTGAAGTATCTGGATATTCATTCATTAGCAAAGCAAAGACAAATCTCCACAACTTGACAGATTTCCTAAAAGCATATCAGAAGTGTGTTTAGAGCAGACATATGCTATGTTATCGCAGAGATTGAAATCATGTTTTTGAGAAATGAAAACTCCTTACAGAAACACACACAGCACCAAGAGCCGAACTAGAAATTTAATACAAGACACAGGTGTTACTGTGTGGTGTGTGTGAATAGTTACATTAGGGATTGGGATATATTACAATGGTGAGAAGGTTGCAGCAATTTCCGCTGCTTAGAAATTTGGTAGAAAGGCTGGCAAGTAAAGTTATGTTTATCCTTGCAAACTACATTGAGAAAATATTTCAACTGCAAACTTTAAAGAGTATCTCATTTCCTAAAAAAAGACTGGAGAACTGATTTCTACATTGTTATGTTTTACCTTCAACTGAACATGTAGAGGCAGATATGAAGACATCACATCAAATGCTGATACAGAAATATTCTCTTTAGGAGACAGCTATTTTGATTCGGATGTTTACATTGTGTCGCATCACCTTGTCTTTTAATAAACTTATAAGTGATCAGGAAGTGAAAAAAGCTGTTTTTGTAGATGTGACCATTTTATATATTTATTTATTTTTCAGAACACTTTTTTAATTTTTTGTAGATTTTTTTTGTCTCCTTTGTCAATATCTTTTTCTTAGAATCAAGTCTCTTACGCTGTTATATCTGGTATATACTTTCCTGCAAATCTAACATGTGCAGAGTGTCATTTGGAATCCTCATATTCAAATAATCAAAGACTGAGAACAGTTCTTGCTGATGGCATGATACAAAACCTGTATTTATCGTTCAGCAGATGTGGCCTGGACTAATGACATGCTCTCTACAGTAACCTACATACTAGTGCAGAAGCTGTATTTGAGAAATGCAATTATATATTTTTATGTAAATACTCAAGATGCCCCTGATTTCCAAGACCAGTTTGAGATTTGAGTAATCAAACTATTTCATGTTCAGAGAATGTGGGATGTCTCAATGTAACTGGAGCCCTGTATTTTCAATTTACAAGGTAGAGCTTGAAGCAGAAGTTTCTCAGTAATTTGCACAACAGAACTCAATTTCAAATACCCTGCCACCAAAGGGCTTGGTGATCAGAACCATTCATAACTGATTTTTCTTTTCTTTTTTGTTTTTTTGCATACAAAGATTTCTCTGGATTCAATGTGCCAAACTTCAGAAAAATAATTAGCTATTTCAAAATAACAAAATTGAAGGTATTCTATGTTCAGTTACTAAAAGAAAATATCTCTGTGAGGCTCATTTTAAATTCCTTTAGGTTGTTCAACGTATAAAGCCTTCCAACAAACTACGTCAAGTTTTCTCATTACTGGGCTTTAACCTGAGACTCCAAAACCTTAATGTCCATTTTGTTCATCAAAAACATAAGCAGATGAGCAAAGGTTACATAAAAATTCCAAATAATTTTAAAGCTGCCCACAACAAGAAAATATTCTGAAAACTAGACCACTTCTTTGCTGTGAGATCAGATTATTTGGGTCTTGGAGAAGCAATGAAGCAAACAGCATGGTTGACACTTGCAGAGGTGCTCCTTAGCCTCTGACGGGTCGGGGAAAGGGTCAGTACCAGATCCTGCATGTGTTATCCTTGCTCCCTGCAGAGGGGCACAAACAAGTGGTGGTGTAGAGGGATACAGCTATGTGCTTTTCGTCTAATTTGAACAATTACGCTCTTGTGATGGCTGGTGAGAAGGAGTGCATTCACCCCTTGTTTTATTTTAAGCATAAGAGGTTGTCAGATTAATAAGTGGCTGTCAGATGTGGTGTCTCTGTGAATACCTGTAATGATGGTGCTACCCTCATAGTTGAAGACACAAGAGAAGACCTCGTCAGTGTGACCCTTTAAGACTTGTAGGCACTCTCCAGACTGAGCATCCCACAGACGAGCTGTTTTGTCTGAGCTGGCAGTTAGGACTCTGTTGCCCTGGGGGCTGAAACAAATCTGCAGGGAGAGGCGCAGAGCCAAGAGTTAACCTCCACTTCATACAGAGTCCCTGCTACTAGAACGGTAATGTTAAATGACAAAAAAAGCAGAGGTTAGTTAGGACAAGTTAGGACATTTTCCACGTTTCTGTAAACACTGCAGTCTTACAGCAATCCTGACAGAAGCTGGTTGTATTAAAGCACATTGTTCTCATTCCCTGAAAGTTTAATGTCCTGAGGGAAGACATTATTACAATAGGTTGGCTCAGCAGCCATGACAGCAAAATATGTTTTTATTAAAATACCAAATTGAGCATTGAGAAGCTATCCAAGTCATAAAATGGACAGTGACCAGAGAAGACGGAGCATAAAGAACCAAGATGTGAGTGGAGGCTATGAGAGTTTCTAAAATAAAGAAAAGATGGATTACAGTGAAAGGAAGGGGAAAAGAAAGGTGTGTATAGGACCGAAGTAATCATAAACAATTCCAATACCGTGTCACAGGCATACACTGCTAAATAATTCCCTCCTTATCATACCAAAGAACTGTGATAATGGGTGTTGCAAGACCTGAGATAATGGATAAATATGAATGTCTTTGCACACTATTAAGTCTTGTCGTCAGGCGAAAAAATACATGGTGAAATATATCTTTGTAACTGTATTCTTTCATCACATCAGGATTCTCCTCACTGCAAAATTACTATGGTGTTTTACTGCCTTCGAAAGAAAACACCATCTCAGCTGTCATTGGCTGATCTTTTCCGCAGACAGCAGAAGTGTCACTCACTGTGGATCATTTATTCTAGACTTTGAAGTTGTTAGTGTAAAGTATAACAAAGTAAGTAAAAATGCATTCTGATCATTTTGATCTGAATAATATTCAGGAACAAAACCAATAAGAATTTCAGGCCCGGCATGATTCCTTTTTATGAGCAGTGACATTTTGAAATGAAAAGTTTTGTGAATATGTGACACACAATAAAATCCAGAGAAATCAGTTCTGTTTAATATCAATTCCATTTCTCAAATGTTCATCACATGAAGTAAAGGATAGCAATGCATACAAGGAGAAGCTAAAACATAATCAAAATGGATGGAACAGCATTCAGAACCAGACACTGAAATAGAAGCAGGAATCTGTGAAAAACTGTTAAGATGCATGCAGGGGAGGGGGAGAAATGTCCTGTTAGGAAGAGATTAGTGTCATAATCCTCTGGAATCATCCTCCATCCAGCCTATTTTTCCTGGCTGTCTGTGTTTCAGTAAACACATACAGAGAACCCCAGTGAGCCAGATCCAGAGGAAACACGCTCATGAATAGCAAATCACTTTCATTAGAGAACAGGGTCGACGAAGGGCCAAACAAACACACACAAGGGTAAAATACGTGGCAGTTTGATGAATCTATGTAAGACAAGGTTAACAGCTCTTTTAAGACGTGGGACTACAAGTCAAGGAATGGTGTTACATTTGTGCTCTGATTTGAAAGAATAATAAAACAAGGTCAGACTGATGGTCATGGATGACACCAAACATCCTGAAGCTTGGGCTACTATCTCCACACTTCAGAACCATGCTTTATCTCATGTTAGCAAGTAAACAAACTAAGCGACTAATATAAAGCTCCATCAAGGAGAGCTACTATTATAGAATCAAAGTCGAAAAAAAAAGAATATGCAGGCTAATAAACAGCTGTCTGTTAAAGTATAGTGTTGTGATAGAAACAAAGCTGTGCCAAGCAATGGAAAACATTATTGTGTTTATTAATGAATATTTAGCATACAATGCCTTCCAGATGGTCTCATTTGCAACTAATGACTTTGTCAAATACAGTGGTTAAGTGGAAAAACATTCCAGTGTTTGCCTAAGAATTCATTGGAGGAAAAAAAGTGACTTTGATTACATACCTTGGAGATCTCTCCATCATGCCCCGTTAGCCTCGCAAGACACTGATGTGTCGCTGCACTGAAGACTTGTGCCGTACCTTAAAGGCACAGGGACAGGCAGCATTTACAGTGTGTTTACATAATACATGGGGATTTCCACAAAACCAGAAGATTGGTATGCAGAAGACAGAAATGAGATGAGTTTTGCAACATAGTCTCACCATCAGCAGAAGCAGTGGCAACGAGCTGACCACTTAAATCAAAGCACGCATCCAACACCTCTTCTGTGTGTCCACCAAGGGTGGCAACACACTTCCCACTGGCTGCCTCCCACAACTGCAAATACATTTACAATTCAAGATCTTATCTTTATGTTTATACATGTATATGTATACATATGTACAAACACACAGAAAAATGTAACTGGTTGAATGCCTATACTAAAAGAAGAACAACATTTTTATTTTTTATTGTATTCGGGCAACAGCCACTCAAACGGAAGCAAAGACATCATTACGCTGCTTTTTGTTCATGTGTAAGATAGATATCATACACATTCATAACAGGGGTTTAGTCATGTGGTTGTGTGTGCAAAGATTTCTCAGAATAGTTTTGCAAAAATTGTAATTAAGACTCAGCTTCTCTGAGATGCTCTTTAGTAATACTGACTTTTATGAATATGTTGCCATTTAACACGATTAAGTGTGACTGTTCGGCCACAGCCTCACAGCATTCAGTGTGCTCTATTTCAAATCGAATCCCGGCTGCAGATGATTTGCAAATATTGGATTTCTTATGCCCAGTAGCCCATCTCATATTGAAAGGAAAAGAAAAGAAAAATTAGGACTATACATGCACTGGGGCAGAAAAGACTCACGCACAAGTAGAACAAATTAATATGAACATTAACAACACTCAGTAAGCTTTCATTTTAGCCATCTACCCTAGAGGAGTGCAGTGAAGGGGATAATTCTAACTTGTGACTATGACTCATCTTGGCATAATTAATGAATTGGAATTCAATTTTCCTCCTTGAAATGGTAGAGAGTACAAAAGTGGTGGTGAGAGAGGGAATGCAGAAATTGGCAAAGTGGAACATTTCGGATACCAATCTATAGCAACATTATTTATATATTCATTTTGCAACAAAACACAAAAAAATGATAGCATGAACAAACACTAAAAAGCATGCCTTTAAGATGTCAAACTCACCTTACAGGTTTTGTCCATGGAGCCTGATACGATGAGGGAGCAGTCCCAGTTAAATTGAACATTGCTTATTTCTCCCGTGTGACCTATCAGAGTGTGAATACGTCTAAGATAAAGGCAGAGAGGATGCATTTAATTAATTGTATGGGTGTTTCTACACGTGTACAGTATATGACTCATACACAAATTAACAAGCACATTACAATACCAATGATATCCAACCTTTTTGAAGCGACATCCCATATCACAATTGTGTGGTCAAAGGAGCCAGTGAGAAGCTGACTGCCAACTGTGTTAAAGCACAAGGAGAGGACCTCTGCAGTGTGACCCTGGATGGAACAAAACAGAGAACATGATCCCTCATTAAGGCACTTTTATATTTTGACTTTTTGCTGCCTCTGTCCCTAAAGGGTCCACCAGGCCTGAAAAAGAAGATCAAACAGGCTTTGCCACTGATAAGATTAAGCACATCGGATTTAGCCTTCGAGGAAGATTTTAATTTCTTACATTAACAAAGCTTCTCTGCTGCACTGACTGCTGTCAGCATGACTGATTCTACATGGTGCGAGGAGCTAAAGGAACAGAGGGAGCCCCTCCTAACCGAGACAGAGCCAGCCAGCCAGTCAGCCAATGAACCCACTTACAGTATGCACATCAAAGTGAACTCCCCCTCCAAAGGTGCTTATTGGTGCCTTGTGAGGGAGTTACAGTTGAATCAATGATGTGATCGTTTTTGGTTAAGTGGTAAAAATGCACTGTAAAATTACTACAATTACCAGTATTCAGTTAAGTAACAATTACGTTTACAACAGATGAGTCACATTGCAACAGAAGACTACAAAACAGAGAACTCACAGTCAGGGTGGCCACCTCCTCCCCACTCTCAACATCCCACAGCTTGGCAGTGGCATCCATGCTGCCCGTGGCCACCAATGTACTCTGGGGGTTGAACGCCAAGCACACCTACACAAAAAAAAAACTTGTTCACGTGCATTTATCATGAGCATGTTCAATGTGGCACAGAGGCAAGACTGTGTATGCTCTGATGTTCCAGAGCTCAGCTTGCATAATGTAAGCAGCACGTGAGAAAACAACAAAAGCAATTAGGTCTTAACCAATACAAGTTACAATACGTACTATTTCTGCCACATGCCCCCGAAAAGTGTGGAAACATTTGCCGGTCTCAGCACACCACAGTTTGCAGGTCTTGTCGAAGGAGCCCGTGGCAATCTTGTCTCTGAGTTTAATGACGAGGAAATAAAGCAAGAAAAGTGAATTTGGTGCGTCAAATAGAGCGGAAAAACTCTCATGCTCCGGCGAAAGTTTAGCTGAAACAGCTTATTACCCATAGGGGTTGTTGAACGCAACTGCATATACCACGTTTTTGTGACCCTCCAGTGTGTGCAGCTCGGTGCCGGAGGCTGTGTCCCAAACTCTGCAAGTCCTGTCATAACTCCCCGTTATGAACCTGCACAATACCAATGACCAGGGTGAAAAAAGAACACATACATTTTTTCTTTCTCAAACACCAAAATGTCGGACTATTGTTCAAGGGTGGTCAGAGTTACTGGCATCTGTGATTTATGTGTTATTTATCTTTATGTTATGTTGTGTCACATACAAATGATGTCATGGGCCGGTCTGCCCATCTTTCTGTTAGTACCTAATTTATGATCAAGAACCATCCAAACTGAACCATGACAAGGTGAGTGAGGCTAAGTAGGGCTGAGCAGGTTGCAACAGAAAACCCCCAATCTCATTTATAATTAAAAAACAGAAAGTGGCTGTTGACAGCACTGTATGTAATAAACTCACCTGGATCCAGATTTGTCAAAAGCAACATTTGTCAGTGGCAGTATGTATGCCTTAAGCTCCTGTGAAAAGATCAGAGATTAGTGAAAAATAGAACTATTGAGTCAACACGTTTGCCTTTATGTTTATGTTTATTCATTTAGCAGGCACTTTTATCCAAAGTGACACAATGGTACAGTTATCATCAATATGACAATAAGTTCTCTAGAGGAAAAGCCCTCGTCAGAATCAGATGTGACAGCAAAGAGAGAGAGAGGGATGTGCAGAAAGAGTAGAAGAGGGGTACAGAGGTATAGGTAAGAGATAGGACATCCAATTTAAACACAATCTAATAATCTAATTTCCATTAGTATAATTGATCTAGGTTGCAATTTTATATATCCACTGTGACTAACAGTTTAGGAGAAATTTTGTTTCCCTCAGTCAGAGCCTATCAAATCTCACCAAAGTTTAGGATATAGAAAAAAAAAAAGAATAATTTCTTCTTTGGCCATGAAAGTAATTCTGTGTTGGGTTTGACTGTCTTTTATGCTGTTCTGACTCACATGAAACACATTGACTTTAGGAAGATTCTCTGCCTCTAATTGAAAGACTTGGTAACCAAACCACTGCTGCTCTCTAGTGACTCATTTGGAGCAGTAACAACTAAAAGTAATTTATTTCCATATATTTCACAAACATATTCACACATCAAGGAGCTTCACTCTCCAACAATTAGCTGATGCAGAGGAGGGTTTTGTCAGAAAAAATCTTATAACTACATGTGTGAAATTAGAACACTTTCAGAGGGGAGTAACATTCCCCTACGGTAATCACTTAATAAGCACTGAGTGTGATAATACTGAGGTACCCTGGACTTGGTTACCTTGTAACTTAGCATTAACAGATGTCACGAGGTTGACTTTTGCGTCTCACCTTGCTGAAACAGAACCTGTGGTGGTCCTGCTGGGCGAGCTTTTGCTGAAGCCTGAAGACCAGTTCTTTAACCTGTTCAGCCCTGCTCTCTGTGATCAGAGGCTCTGACTGCATGATTTCAGAGACCAACTCGTCCAGATTTGTCCTACATGATGGGGAATACAAAATGATTCAACATTTAAATAAATATTTAAAATACACACAAAAAAATCATTACATTTAAAAGCTGATTAAAAAATGACAATTTTTATCTGAATAAGTATGTAAGTATGCATGGGAGACATTCCCTTGTTATTGCTAAGGAAACCCTCGGTGTGTCATTGCATTCTTTACATAAAGATTTACAGGAGAAGAGGTTAACTAATAATAGGGGATTGACGTTCATATCATTGTATTTTAACAGTTTAAAGTAAAAAAAAAATCACTTTTAAACATCGCCATGCAAGTCATGCAACAACTAACGTACTGAGGAGTCAGATCCAAAAGGTCGATGGATTTGGTCCTAAAATTACCCGCTTGTTCATATTCCAGGATTATACCTGAGGACAGAAAAACGTTTGGAAACATTTTAAACCTGCTATCAAGCCGGAAAAAGACGTCAAACACAACTTTCACACACATGAGCGTAATTCTATTATTAGGTAACCCTGAGAAAGTTAAGTGAACTCATTGAGGTGGAGCGCTTGCGTAAATCGGTCAGAGCTTCAAATATTGAGAGGGAAAATGCACGGCACTGCCACGTTTTATTACATGAACAAACAACGTTAGTGTTTGTTACCTGGCGGAAAATATCTTAGAAGAAACCGCTTGAGCCTCATGTTTTGCTTGCGCTGCGGTAAAGTCACCGGAACAACAAACCGTAGCCATGGTGATATGAGCACGTGTGGGGGTCACGCATGCGTAGTACCCTAAACGAAGCATCCAGGGACATTACCGTTAACTCACATCTCAAACGTAGCGCACAACGAAAGTAAAAAGATATGCATAAGTAAAGTCTGAGGACAAATTGATGAGTGAACTGAACTTGATTTGAAATTAAGTTGTTATTATGTTTTTTATGTCGCTTAAAGAAGACAAAAAACACAGCAATTGCTGTTCTGTAATTATATTCTACCACACTTTACCATTATTAAAACAGCAATGCTTCAACACATAATGTTCAGTCTTTGTTTTAATGCTTTTTATAGACAATCAAATTACTAAGATCTCTGAGTGCTTATATTCAATAATATTTCTACCGTCTGTTGTATATAATATATTACAATCACCCTTCAGCAATTACGTCACAATCAATGTTTCCCTCTCCCCTGTGATGTAAAGTCTTATCATCTTGAATGCTTGTAATCATTTCATCACATCTCGCCAAGCCCCGTTTTCCCTTAAAGGTCAAAGTCTATTGCTTACAAATCCGGATGAGAGCACGTGCAGACAATAAAGATAGTGTGTATATTTTCCAGCTGCGGGACAGTACTGATTGCTTCAACAAGGCTCAAGCACCTCACTCAACGGATAGTTCAGATTACAAACCTTTACATTAGAACACAGTACACAGGTATTATTCCTGCCCTTAAAAAAACACAAAGAGGACCACTTGGGAATTCAAGCATGGGCTGTCGGGCCGAGATTAAATCTGGGTGGGTTTATCCCACTGCACTCTTGTCACTCTATGGCTTTTTTGCCAACTGCAGAGTGGCAGAGCCCTTCCTGACACCGTACCTAATTGGACCACACAAGAATATCTCTGAGGAAGCGGTAAGAAAAGCCCACACACCTATTCTGTGTGATCACGTACAGAGAATGTATGAAGTATCTTTTACAGTGAACTTTTCCTGTGATGGTAGAAAAACAATGACACAAGAACAGAAATAATCAATTATTTTGTGGATTATCTCTTCTTTCACTCAGTTGACAAACTACCTGTTTCCTATCTGGACATACTCCTACCTGGCTTTCCTGTTTCCTGTTTTCATCTTGACTGACTTCCTTAGGTACAAGCCCCTCATTACGGTGCAGGGGCTCTTTCTCGTTACAAACTATGTCCTACTTTGCTTTGCTCCAGGTCTCCCTGCAATGACCTTACTTCAGGTTAGTGGAAAACAAATTATGTGACAGTTGCTTGAGAGTTATATGCTTCCAATAACAGTTAAGAAACTCATCTGGTGTTGACCCATCTGGTTATTTAAAACATATCATTATTTGCAGCTGCAGTGAGCATAAATGAACAAAACATACTATAGGTGTGAGGCATTGGCTGAAGTGAAACTTTTCAATACTATCGACAGGTGAATTATGCGGTGGTGACCTCCACAGAAGTGGCTTATTTCTCCTACATTTATAGTGTGATTCCAGTTGAGAAATATCAAAGGGCCACTGGTTACCTGCGCAGTGCTATGCTGGTTGGATACACATTTGGTGCAAGCCTCGGTCAAATGCTGGTTTCCCTTGCAGGTATAGCTTCAAAACCAATGACATAAATAGACATGATATAAATATATCTTCAGATTCAACTTTCAAGAAGTAATAATAAGAGAAACAAGCACGATTAAAAAAACAGCAAATAAATTACTGAATAAGCATCAGAAAGCTCCAAATAATGAGTTAACACACTCTTCTTTTCTCCCATCAACAGGAGTGGACTACTTCTATATCAATGTCATAACTCTGGGGATTGTGAGCGTAGCTTTTCTCATCTCCTTCTGGTTACCCATGCCCAGCAGAAGTATATTCTTCAAAGGGAAAGAGGCAGTAGGATCCCAGGGAAGGCCTTGTGATGAAAAGGGCCCTGAGGAAGCAGTGATGGATGAGGATGGAGCAGACTTGGAGGAGAAGAATGTCCGTGTCAGCTGGTGCAGCAGGGAAAATGTGGCCAATGCAGCCCATCTTCTTTGGAAGAGCTTCAGGGAGTCATACTCTTCCAGGCATTTCATCTTTTTAAATATAACTTTGAGTACAGAGCGTGTGAGCACATATATTGCAAAAGATGGAGGCATATCATCATTTCTCATTGCGGCATTTTTCACGAAATAATTGAGCATCATCATAATCTGTTTTCATCATTGTCGACACTCAGGCATTTAATCTACTGGTCATTGTGGTGGGCTCTGGCCACTGCTGGCTATGTGCAGGTGTTTAACTACATCCAGCTAATGTGGGACCATATAGAACCATCTGCTACATCATCCATCTACAATGGAGGAGTAGAGGCTGCATGCTCTGTTGTTGGTAAAAACATTTTTTTTATTATGATCATGTATATTTATGGGAGTCAGTGCATGCTAGGGGAAAACATGCAAACTTCATACAGAAAGGAGCCAGCTGAAATAAAAAAATTGCAAAAAACTCATACAACAAAAAACATGAACCGCATCCAATAAATAAAAGAGCCTCTTTTGCAATAGGATTTTAAAGAAGTACAAAACTGCTGAGCTTTGTAGCAGAGTTCAAGTAAAGCAAAGGGAGAGGAGAGGTGAAAACACAAATACAAAAAAGCACGCAAAATAATATTCAACGACATAGTTAAAAGCTGAAATGTCTGATGGCGAACAAGCAAGCCCTGCTTGGCTGTGTGAGGTGACTGATTAAATGCATTGATTTTGAATGGCAGTGGCAGCACCGGGGTCCTTTTGGCTCAAGCTCAACCTGCCTCAACATGAGAAGAGAAAGAGTAATTGCTTCAATTAAGGAGTTAGTCAAAAGGTAATGGATTCTCAGATTTTTGCTGATGGTTAATTCCAGGAGCTGGATGAAAGCGGTTCATCAAACCGGACCGATGAGGCACGGGACAGGCATGTGTGTTGATGCGCTTTTGTTTGTTTTTTAGCACACCATAGGTTGCAAGACAGAGATGTTAATGAACAGTGAAGACACTGGCCACTGGAACAACACATTAAGTGCTAATTTATTTTTCTCCATACGCCAGGTGCTGCAGCAGCCTTCTCTGTGGGCTTCATCAAGGTGAGCTGGGCCGTGTGGGGAGAGCTGGCGCTGGGGCTGTTCTCGGCTGTGGGAGCCGGCGCCGTGTTTGTGATGGTGTTCACCAGCAGCATTTGGGTGTGCTATGCTGCCTATGTGATATTCAAATCCAGCTACATGTTTCTCATCACCATCACAACGTAAGCTTGTTATAGAATTGTTACAAAATTGTCACTTTTCCTCTATTGCCAGTTTTTACCAGCAATTCACCAATTCAGGCAGTTTCGAAAGATGTGTGGTGTCAAAAAGTGTGGACACCTCTACACATTCAGCACAAAAAAATCAGTGTGTACTTTTTTTGCTGAAAATGCTCATATTTAGGAAATAACTAGCATTTTTCAGCCTGGAAATGTCACAAGTGTTCTTCAAGATAAATACTTTAAAAAAGGTTAGATTAAATAAAAGCACTTCAGTGCATTATGAAGTAAGACTAAAAACTAAGATTTCATAAATCTAGTCACCAGAGTTTTTATACACATATAGATAAATCCTGAACATATTAAGAATGAAAGTCTGGTCAGATCAATTTAACTCAAAATATGCTCACACATATTTCAACACATGTACAGATTAATTTGAATAATTTTTGCTCTATTTCTTAATCAAAATAATGGAGTAAACCTAATATTTATTGAGGTAAAAAAAAAAACTGCTTTCTCATAACTGCCAACACTTTTCCTCTGTAGATTTCAGATAGCCTCTAACCTCTCCATGGAGTGCTATGCTCTGACATTTGGGATCAACACTTTCATAGCCCTGTCACTGCAGACGATCATTACTGTCATTGTTGTTGATGAAAGTGCACTGGGACTGGACATCGTGACACAGGTAGGCTTCCATTCATGTCAGTAAACTCATCCTTGTGGCTCACTAACATCCTAATGTGAGCAGAGAGGGACACCTGGTGGCCATTTGTGACTGTTGCATGCAGACATGTTGGATGTCGGCTCATGCAAATGTTGACAGAAGTCTTTATCCGCAGTTCATCGTATATGGCAGCTACTACACTTGCATCTCGCTGCTTTTTCTTATACGAGGGACCTACACTGCCTGTATAACTTACTGCCGTACTGAGGACAAGGAGGCCACAGAGCAGGAGCCCAGTGTAGAAGTGATCTCTGCTCAACGATTTTAATCATTGTCAATAAAATAATAATGTATAAACAGCATTATTGGCCTCAAGTTGCTGACTGGCTCCAAAAACTATTTCTAAAATAGCAAATCATCTTTATAATCTAAGAAGGAAGCTAAGCATAACAATAAAATGCAATAAGTTGTGATAAGCATTGAAGACGAAAGGTTTGTTTGTTTACCTGTTGAGTTTCACAACCGTGAGGATTGTGCTGCTCTTTGACCGGGTTGTTGATTGACAATTGCTACACTAAAGCAGCCACAGGTTTTTCTCGCGAGAGAAAGGCAGGACCAAACGATCTGTACGCCAAACAGGTAGAAACAGGCAGAAGAACATGGAGGTGGTGAAGAGGTGGAGGTCAGACTGGAGGTATCCCACAACGCTTCTGTGCATCTATGGATTCTTCAGCACAGTTAAGCCGCTGGAGCCTTTCCTTATTCCATACCTGACGGGACCAGACAAGAATTTTACAACTGAACAGGTACAAAACCACGAGTAAAAAAGACCAATTTTACAAATGTGGAAATTTTCACTTGTAGAAAAGGTAGATCAATAATGAGGGATTTTCAATCCTCTCTAAAACTCCGCTGTGAAGTTTTGTCGCTTTGAAATGAAACAATTTCTTAAAAATTTAATCTGAATGTGTGTCGTTTTGATGCAAGTTTGATACAGTCAGACAAAAACAAAAGCAAAGCTTACTAATGGGTTACAGACACAATAACTGAACAACTGGTTTCAGTGGTAAGTACTTAAGTGGTAAGCTTTAGCTCATGAACACTGGTAGCAATCAAAAACAGGACAGATAAGATAAGACTTTGTATCTACTGTGCCAGGGCAGAGGCAGAAAATAACTTTTCTGAAATTGAGAATCTTTGGTAAAAAGGAAATCCAAAAATTTAATAATAATTTATATGTGCAAGAATCCCGGTGAGAAAAGTATAGACAGATAGTATGGATATTCTCTCTATTCTCAACTAATCATAGCTCTGCCAAAGATGAGGGCAGCACACCACAAAAAGGGGCTTAGGTTAAAGGGAGCAGATGAAGTCTGTGAGCTCCACACACAGCTGAAACTGACTACAAAAAAGTGCATCCATGTCTCAGAATTTGGAGTTAAGATTTTTTAAAGCAAAAATCTAAGCTATAGTAAGTTATACCATGAATATGACAAGAAAATTGACAACCTGAACCTTCTTTAAGGCTTCATTTAAAATGGATGGTTGCAAAAATGCCAAACAAAAATGTATAACTATCCAAATGCGTCATGATACAGCCCCTTCTCCTCATCAGGTCAACAATCAGATCTTCCCGGTATGGACCTACTCCTACCTGTGTGTGCTGCTGCCGGTGTTCCTGCTCACGGACTGGCTGCGCTACAAGCCTGTGGTGGTGTTCCAAAGTGTCATGCTCCTGATCACAACGGCCCTGCTGAGGTGGACAGAAAGTGTAGCGGCCATGCAGGCCATGCAGTTCTGCTACGGGGTGGTGACAGCCAGTGAGGTCGCCTATTTCTCCTACATATACAGGTCCCTTCCTCTAACTCATAGTACTGCCAGGTGTCAAAGGTCTGACCATAAATGTTGGAACGGACCCCATTAAATACCCTTGCTGGTATCTTTTATTACAGTGTGGTGGATCTGAAAAGGTACCGGAGGGCCACATCTTACAGCCGAAGCGTGCAGCTGCTGGGTTACACGGTCGGCTCTGTGCTGGGTCAGCTGCTTGTTAGCTTCCACCTCATGTCATACTACAATATCCTGGTGTTTACTTTGGTTCTCACCGCCATGGCTTTCTTCACCTCCTGCTTCCTGCCTATGCCAAAGCAGAGTATGTTCTTCCACCGAAAGCGTCCAGGACAGCCTGCGACAGATGAAACAAAGGGCCAAACGGATGCTCCAGTGGAGGCAGCAAGACACTCCAGATCAAACACTTCCCAGGAAGTGATGAGGGAGGAACGGGCGGAGGGAAGGGGGACGGCAGATAACGCAGAGAGAGAGTTGAAAGTGGAGATCCACAGAGAGTCTAAGAGCCCAGAGAGCTGCAGCCAAGTAATCCGCATCCTGTGGAGGGACTTCCGTCTGTGTTATTCCTCCAGACAGTTGCTGTACTGGTCTGTCTGGTGGGCAATGGCCACATGTGGATATAATCAGACTGTCAACTACGTGCAGGTCAGTTGTAAGGCTGATAAAAAAACTGAGGATTTCACTCATTTTATGAGGGACTTGAAGTACAAAACCCATCCATCCATCCATGCTGGTACTATAGGTGAATTAAGTGAAAAGCTGCATTTTCTCATTTGGGATTTACTTTTTGAATGTTGAGCTGATCACAATGTGACCACTCTCTGGATCAGACAACTAGTGATGACAACTTAGATACATTTCTGTTTGAAATCATACACAAAACTGTAAAAAAAAATCTCAAACTTGATGGGGTTCTGGTTTTGATTTCAACTGGAGCAGTAAATGTGATCAGTTTTTCTGTATACAACTCCTGTGATATTCCCCGCAGGTGCTGTGGGAGCATGTGCAGCCCTCTCAGAACTTCAGCATTTATAACGGAGGCGTGGAGGCAGCATCCAACCTGTTGAGTACGCAACACCTAGAAGTTTATTAGAACACAAGCTATATCTTAAACCATTTCAACTTGCTGAAGATTTCAGTCAGACGTGATAAAGGCTAACTATAGGTGCTTAAAACATGAGTATATGGTTGAACTCTTTTCCTTTGTGTTTTGCAGGTGCTGCCACAGCGTATGGAATTGGCTTCACTGAGGTGAGGTGGGAGCAGTGGGGGGAGCTGGCCCTGGGCGGTTTCTCTGGACTTGGGGCAGCTGCTCTGTTCCTTATGACTTTCGCTGGTAACATCTGGGTGTGCTACGGCGGCTACGTAATTTTCAAGTGCCTGTACATGCTGCTGATAACCATAGCCATGTAAGAGCACACGGTTCCTTTCTCCTAGAAATGATGCTGCAAGCAGCAGTATGAAAATAACACACACACACACACTAAAATGGTTCCAATTTCAGGTACCAGATTGCAGCTGACTTGTCTATGGAAAGGTATGCACTGGTTTTTGGTGTAAACAACTTTGGAGCGCTGGTTCTTCAGACAATCATCACCTCTGTTGTGGTAGACAGTGCAGGGCTGGGCCTGGCCATCATTCCTCAGGTAAGGAATCTGTCCTGCGATAAGTCTGTACATCCCCTGTTACAAGTTAACTTTTAAATCGTGTGCTCTTTTGCAGTTCATCGTATATTCAAGCTACTTCTCCGCCATCTCTGTGGTTTTTTTACTTCGTGGACTATTCAGCATTTGGAGAGCGCGAGAGAGAAAATAGGACCGTCACAGACAGAGAAGAAAGTATGTCCTGTGAAGAACACAGATTATGAAAAGAGTGCCACTGTGAACTGAGGTAGTTTACTTTGTGGCTTTGCATCCCTTTGAAATAAAAAAGCTTCAAAATAACAGGATGAGATTCTGTTGTTAAAACATAAATATGTATTCCATACAAAAAAAAGCTTTGGTATTTTCCTCTTACTTAAATTGTTTAATATATATATATATATATACTGTATGTATTTACACATTAACTTAAAATTCATTAAAGTTCAGTCAAAGTGGTTTTCAGTCCATCAGCCGTTTTGGTTTTCCCACATGGATGTGGTCGGCTGTCATTCAGAGGTGTTGTGACCTGGGCCTCTGTCAGCAGGGCAGTTGATGGTGGAGATAGGTGTCCTCCGATCATCTCTAATGCAGCATTCATTTGTTTTTATATCTCCACAACGAAATGTGTTTGTCTTTTTCTTGAGCGAGAAAAAAATACCCAAAATAATTTCACACAAATAGACAGTTTGGTTCTTTACAAATACAGTAACTGGCAGTACCCAAGCAACAGCTCTGTTTCAGACAAACCTTGTGTGTTTTACAAATACTGATATGCACAAAGAGCTAATCACCTAAAAGTAAATTAATATGTACAGAATTGCAGCATAATGAACGGGATATACTGTATGCAATAACTTAGTTTTCAGCCAGTTTGATTATAGGTGGTGGCTCAGTAGAGGCCAGGCCAGTTCACAGGTTAAATAGAGCGGAGAGGATCAACCTCCCCCTCTGCACGCCATCACTTTGTTTTGTAGCCACAGACAGTGTCAGCATGACCCACTCGCAATATTGTTCCTTTTTAGACAAACTGCGATATAAAATACAAATCCATACAAACATTGTGTTTTTAAAGCTACTTGTGAAACAAAACAGTGCAATAGGTGCAAGCGCGCCAGTTGTTGACCCTGTAGTGCAGCTGAGAGGGTGGATCGCTATAAGAAAGGGTTTGTCGAGGAGCCTCCCGCTGAAAACTGTGTGGGTGGACCCGCACCCTGGAATGAGAGAGGTGCACAAACACAGAAGAGATAGAGAATTATTTTGACCTCAGGAATTTTAACTTCCTGAATGAGTACAAGTTCAATGTTTGTCAAACGCTGCCCGTACTAACCAGAAAAGGGTTATTAGGAACCATAGGTCCTGCCATTCCCTGTCCAAAAGGAGTCACAACAGGTTTGGCTGGGCCAAAGGCTGGAAATCCTCCACCTATAAGAAACAAACAAAACAGCTGAAATCCAAGAACTATTTGGGTCACTGAAACTGTGTGACCACTACATGAATGTAAACATTTTGTCATCATTAATGCTGTTTAGGCTCCGGCTACATTATCACCACACACCGTTGGGTTGCTGGGGAAACGCAGGAGGCTGAGGGAAGGGACCCTGGCCAGGAAAGGGTGGCTGGAATGTTCCACTGAAACTGGTAGGGAGGTTGTAGGCTGCAGCATTCCCGAATCCAGAGGGCATACTCATGGAGCCTGTGCCAAAAGGGGCTGTAACAGAGCAGGAAACAACAAGTTACAGAAACCTTGCTAAGACTCAGCAACACGTGCAATGACCTTCTTCTTCCGGCTCTCGGCGAGTGCAGACGTTTTTCTCTCTGCTCCCTCCCCTATCCTTTTTTCCTGCTTGCTATCTCTGTCCTGTCATATCTCAGAGCCTCTTTCTGCATTTTCACTTCCTAAAGCCTAACGTCAACCATGGATTTGGTCGGCCGGTCTCTCAACGCAATTGACAGCATTTTTACTACCCAAAGACAAGCTGCCGGGGCTGCAACTTGTCCAGCTGGGACTCACCATGCGGGTTACACGATAGATGCCTGGAAGAAGTGGAGGGTTTTTGGCCTTTCAGTTCTCTCTGTGGAGGACGTTGAGTACCTATATTATTTGGATTCATGATAACCGGGTTCCTGCTGATTGGAGTTGGTGGATACCTAGGTTTTCGAGAAATTTAGGAGGCTGATGGCAACTGGTGGTAAGCTGCCTGTCGAGCCGGTTTACCGATCCATCAACACTCGGACTCAAACCTTGTGCGAGTTGTCTCGCAAACATGATGCTCTGGTGAGCATTCAGGAGGCTCATAGAGGCAAAATGGGGACGACGTCTGACAGCATGAGGGTTATGGGTAAAACCTTGGAGAAGTTGGTGGTTCGGATGGAGGGAAACTAACACAATTCGGCTGATTTGGATCGCCATTGAGAGACCTGCTGAGGACTTGAGGCAGACAAAACACGCTCTGTCTGGAACAAAGCTATCTCTCTTATCTCAATCTGGCCTCCCGAGAGCGGCCTTGCAGCTGCTGCTCTGCAACTTTGCCCTGGATGAAACTGCAGATGGACGCTTTGCCCACCCCACCCCCTCCCTCTTCCCAAGCAGGAGTATGGGCATCACAAGGACAAATTCCGTCTAGCCTGTGGATGTGGACCTCCAGCTTGCTTACACTTACACACACACAAGTACAGACTTCATGCATTCCTTGGACTCACAGCCTCGCTGTTACCTTTCCCCTTCCTTCCAACCCCCCTATCCCTCCCTCCCTATGTGTCCTTGATGTTGTGATTTGCCTGTATCTGTGCTTTAGTGTTCTGAGGTGTTTTTTTAAATCACTGTTACGTCCCCTGTCGGGGGCGTGGCACTGGGCCTTTTTTTCCCCTCTTCCCGCAACTACTTTCCCAATGTATTTTTGTTCTGAAGAAAAACGGAGCGCCCTCCTGTGTGGCTGCCCACAGTCTTCCCGAACTGGTGTGTCTATGTGTTTGTTTGTTTGATCTCGGAACGGGCTGTACTGGAACTTCTCCATTGTGAGATCAATAAAGTATTCTTCTTGGGTTTACACTTATTGCTTTTGTGCATCATGTGGAAGCCTTGTAGTGCACAATGTGCTTATGTAACATTACACAAACGTCAGCACACATCTCCAGGGAAACAAATAAAAAGAATGGACACACCAAAAATTATTTAGGAAACTAAAAACTAAGAAATGTTTGAGCTGGAAGAACCAGGGTTACAGAATAGTCCATATAAAAACAATAAAGCTACAATACATTTGGTATCAAGGAATTTATTTAGACACTACTTGTTGATAGTTTGATCAGTGTGGATATTTTCAAATGTTAACAAAAACTATAATAATGACCTTTTGTAATCCATAGTTTGCTTTCCTGTGCTGAATGCTCCACTCAACTTTCTTGTTAAAATCCCCAAGAAGTACATGCAAAATAAGATTCCAGACAACACTGCAAACCCGGCTTTGGAAACAGGAGAGATTCAGAGTCGGAACTGTGTCTGAGTTCTGATGACAGCTGGTAGCAAGCAATCAGACAACTTTATAATAAAGGTTAAAACTGGAACTGAAACTCATAAAGACAAAAGGAAAATGTTGAGGAAACAAGTGGGACACCGATAGTAAATTGCACTTTTGGTAATTAAAAAATACCAAAATTGGTAATTTCCTTTTCTTAATTTCCCACTGTACTGTACTTTATCCACATTTCTGAATGTCTTTGTAATGATAATTACTAATGATAAGGGCAGTTAAGTTTTTATCTTTCCCTGTTGCTGTGATTTGTTTTAGTCTAACTACTATTGCATCTTCAATTATTTTCCCAACAGATTTGTAGTAGAAAATAGTCTTCAATGCCAGAGCAAGGCACAAGATCACAGAAAGGAAGCAGACAGCACAAAGGAACCTACCAAAGGTGGGGCAATACCCCTGCCAATGATGAGACCCTGTTAAGCATGTCAAGAACAATCAGACAGACATTCTTGAAGTCTAACTTCTTTTTTCACAAAACTGGATTTTCATCTGAACTTCCAAAAGTATTAATGTAATGCACAGAAACACATAAAAATGGAGCACAAACAAACCTGCAGCAGCTGCCACACTCGCGACCCTGCCGTTGCACTGGAATGGGTTTGTCGGGGCTGCTGGAGGAACACCGGCAGCTACAAATGGATTAGTAGATTGTGCTGCTGGAAAAACATCAAGTCATTTAGCATGAGACAGGAGTAAAAGACAGGACACTGAAATTCAACATCTTAAAAACTGATCATGCTAATTTCCTATTTTAAAATGAGGATCCTAAGTATTCTTGAGCAGGCAGATAATAAAATTAAGAACACTTACATAAAAAGCCTGTTCACAAGTTTCCAAACAACTTAATGATGGTATTGACATAATGACCTGCGAGTCAGGGTGGTTGGAAAGATTATATTTGATTTAAAAGGCACATGTACCGTGATCATCCACAATTAATCTCTGATGAAGTCTCATGATATAATGCAACTATAATTACCACAATGTAACTAACCCCTGGCACGTTCTTCAGCCCAAAGATAATTTGAGGATTACAAAAGTTACACAAACATGTTAATGCATCAGAAAAAAAACAAAGCATCTGTCCATTTCCCTCACCTCCAAAACCCTGAGCCAGGCTGGGGATGGTCTGCTGTGCTTGTGCTGTGGACAACACCGTCTCTGTGCCAAACACACTCCTGTGGTGACACCCAGTCAACATGTATGTTTAGTGAAGGGACACAGACACAAAAACCCTTGAGATTTGAAGACTGAAACTTTTGAATCCTAAAGTTCACAGTGTGATATCTCACCTTTGTGAGGTGCTGGGGGTGTTGTAAACACTGGTGGCTGGGGCGGACGGGCTGAAAACAGTGTCCAGCTCAGCTAACGCCGCGTAGCGATCGCCCATAGATGCTCCTGCGGGGTGCTTCTGAGGCAAACCTGCTGCTGCTGCCGGGGATGTGCTCACACCACCGGGCACACCAGCTCCTGGAGGAGAAGCACATCAGAGCAAAGCTGTGCTCAAACTGATTCAGAGCAGGAAAGAAAGGTATGTCAACTGTCAAAGAAACAGATACAGAAATGCCCCAAAATAGCTGCAGTACCGTTTTCAACACAGAAATAATGGGGAATGCCTTTTCATTTCACCCATTAGGAAACTTATTTTAGTCTACAGTATATGATAATCTCACAACAGCCCAACAGCCCAGTAGAATTCACAAAAGCTCGAGAGCCAGAATAAGGACCGAGAGTCATTGAAATACTCAGGATGTGTAAGAAGGCATTTCCACCAAATCCAGTGGCCTGTTGTCTTTACACATGCTTGTTAGGTCACTGAGGTCAGAGTGCCAAAAACATAAAGGAAAGGAATATGACCATCTTAAAATCCAACCAAACTTTGGCCATATTAGATATGTGGTAAGAACTGGATGCTGGCACAAAGGACGAAACCTGTCCAGTTTGTGGTGTCTTAGCCTGACCCAGCCCTGATGGGTGGCAACTCACTGGGGCTTCATTTTTGTGTCCTATCCGATTACCGTTCTAAAGCTGAGATCTATGAGACAGGCTAGGCTAAATTGTTTACCTTGCTCTGTTTTGGCAGAGCTAAAAATGTTATCCAGGTCAGCCAGAGCTTCGTATCTATCGACAGGAACGCTAGTACTCTGTACTGCGTCTTTGCCAGCTGCTGTGGAGTTACTCTGGGAAGTAGAACTGAAGGGTCCAAAGTCAGCACTACTTGATTTGGGGAAGTGGTCAAAATTTGCAAAATTGGCATTTGATAGTCCCCCTGAGGCGCTACCTGTATGAAAGAGAGAAATTAAAGAGTCATGAGGAAAACTGTGATCGCTGGTTTGGACACAAGAAGAAAACAAGGTGGAGAGGGAGAAAAAAAAGCTGTTTGCAGGGATCATTTGGGGTTGAGTCAGTCTGTGGAAGGGCTATGTGAAGCACTGAGAGAAGGCGATTGCATTTGTCCATGCCACTCTGCATCATTCTGCCTTTCTATTTGTCTACGAAGCATGATGCATAAAAATAGCACTTCATTCATGCTCTTTGTGTACTGCCAACACAAGAAGATGCCAGCAAATAAGACTACTAAAAATCTATCTTGTGGGGACAACAATTCAACAAAACTGTTCCTAGGAGATCTTAATCATTTAACCTCCTTATAAGCTGTACTGAGCTCTGGAGAGTGCAAATGGATGCAGTCATATATATATAAAAGTATAGAAAATGGATGGATGGGCTCTAACATAATTTATGTTAAACTGATATTGTCTTCTCTTGTTCATCCTGACAATAAGCAAAATGGTGTCCCAAAAGCAGCTGGAACTGAGTGTTCAGATAGGCTGGTTGTCCCCATCACACTGACACACTCGCACAAGTTGATATAGCTCTGTGAGTTCCTCATTTGCTGGTTGGGGCACACCAACTTTGATCTCTCATTCCGCCTCTGCATCATGTCAAAAAGGAATGTAATAAGCATCTATGGCGCATCAGTTTCACCTTCCACTGGAGTGTAAAAAGAACTACTCATCAAGTTAATGAGCAAACTTACTGCACATAATGGCACTTTAAATGATCGAAATGGATATTAGAAATTTTACTAAAAGAGAGGGAAGACAAAGGTGAGCTGATCTCCCTCATTTGTGTTTTGCAGATGTAAGCCTTTATTCTTTTTTTTACCATACTGATTAGTTGAGTTAACGTGATCACTTAGCTTTACACATCTCATAACTTAAATGAATTTTTTATCATTTCAGAGAGAGCGAGAGCTTTCCTCTGGGGAACGCCTGAGAACGAGACGACCTGACTAGGGACAGCATTCTCTACCCGGGGTCCCTGTTCCGACTAAGGATGGGTACCATCAGGGACAATAGGCTCATTAGTGCATGAGGTTGTACCAAACTTAAACAGTTACAAACTGGGGCTGGGCTTTTTTAGAGTAAAACAAGTTATTCACTCACAATGACAGCAGCAAGCAAATGCAGGATTGTGACTAGATCCAGTACACATTTAAAAAACCTGGTCCAACTCTTTTGTTTATAGAATTGTGAGGGCCTCCAGAAAACAAATATTATCTAATCATATTTTCAAAGGAAATCCAGAAATGTAAGAGATTAAATTATTATAAACTTCAAATGACCAATTTTAAATGACTATTGGAAAGTGCTTCCTAGTTTTAGGTAAAGAAGAAGTATGTTTTTGTTCATTGACATCTTTCCAGAACCTTCAAGCTTGTAATCAACAAATAAACTGTCAATTCCTTTTCCCCCTTTTAGTCAGACACAAAAATGAGCAAAATGAGAAACTGGTTACACCCAGAAAGAGAAGGATCACAATGGATACAAGTCAGAGATGGAGGAGAGGGTTAAAGCAGATATGAGGGCAAGCCCAGTGAGAGACTTACTGTGCGCACTCTGGAGAGGCAGAGCAGTGGCAAACTCACCCATACTGCGGCTGGATGAGAGCACAGTGAACGCTGGCAGACCAAAAAAAAGAACCAAAGGAGGAAAAAATGGTGCGATAAGCAACTTAAGATGTCAAAGAAGGAAAAGAATGTTAAAAACAGAAATGAAAAGAATAAATTGTTTAATCACAGCAAATCAACAGCTGTAGGAGCGAAATATGAAAAACGCATTCGACAGAATGAGTAGCTGAAGCAAAACGGAGCCAGTCCTGAAAGAGGATTATCTTTCAAAACGGCATGAGAGAGAAGTGAGATTTATCCATCAAACAGCAAAGATGCTTGAGTTCCCTGCACAGCTGTACGCCAAGAAGCGACACCTCCAGCAGAGGGCAGCGTAGCTCACAGCATCTTTCCAAGATCAGCTTTTGTGAGAATTAGAGGGCAATTTCTTAGTGTAACACTTTTGTAAAAAATGCTCCTTTAAATCATTTATGTGACATCAGAGAAGGAAGTTTAAATGGTTCAAATGCAACAGCAGCCATAAAAGAACTGTTAAAGTCCCTGTCGAAGATTATCCCGAACTGTAGACTCCGTCTCTCTGAAAACCCAAACTTACTTTGTGCCACAAAACAAAACGGCTTATTTATTATCCAAGGTCTTTAAAAAGTGGGTAAACCCGTTTGACCCAAACAGTTAATGAAGTCCATTAGCTTTAAAAATAGGTCAAAGCAGATATGTTAATAATCTTACTCAGATACTAATTGAACCTTGATACCACTGGCTTTATAGACAGTACAACTGTGTCTGCTTTTAATAGTATGCACTATATATATATATATTTTTTTTTTCTTTTTTTTTTCTAAATCTGCTGGTAAAAGTTGGACTTTTTGAAAATCGCATAATTATTTATTGCATAAAGCTTTTTCTAAACTTAAGAGACGGACAAGAAATGCATATAAAAACACATTAACAACACTGCAAGCAAACCAATGGAGGTAGCTGCGCGTGCATGCTGCATGCGACCCTTTGGCTTTAGTCTGAACCAGAAACAACGCACGCCGTATGTACGTTTTAGGATGTTTAATTTATTCAATGGAAAAAATTGGTTCTACCTGTACATGGGGGCTGAAAGGCAGCTTGGGGTGCAGAGGGGAAACCACCTGTCGACCCAGAAGTGCTCCCGAATGCGTCAAAATTAGCAAAGTCTGCGTCTGCGTTGGCATTCTGTGCCGCTGGAGGTGGTGAAGAGGTGACGTTCAGACAGGTGAGCAACAAAAAAAGTGAGGGGGAAACAATGAATGAGTGAATGGATGACATACAAAGACATGGGGGACTACTACACAAATGTAATGAAATGTGCACTGAACATGAGGGGGAAAAAATCACTCTGGGTATTGCTCAATAAAATGCTGAGTGACTGAATGACGGCCAGCACTCCTTTTCTAGAAATATCACTGGCTGTGTTTATGATGACACATGCCGTTAATGTTGCTACATTAAGGATGAGTCTTGATGACCCCAAGCTTCCCGTGGAGGATAATGTCCCCTCATTTCCCTCTCAAACACTAAAAGCCTTATGTTACTGGAATTAGTAGCCATGGAGATTTGTCTGCGATTCTCATACTATTTCATAATTTATGGTCATATTTTGCAACCAAGGCGTGGCACACGGCTGGAATTTCAAAAGAAGTCTGTTATATTAACAATTTAAAAACGTCTGTCAGCCTTCACGTTTCAGAAGAACAGGACTTTTCCAGTTACAGGAAGTGAACAGCACTAAGCAGGGGTGACAAGAGCAAGCTTGTTCCAGATTTCCAAAAGAGAGGCTTCATAAGCAAAATCATTAAAAACTCTCCAACAGAGATTAGACAGAGAACTGATAAACAAGATTTAAGATTAAGATAACATGCATTTGTTTCCCCAATTAGATCTGCTTTTATTGTCTTGCAACCCATGGTTTGTTTGGAAACTGTTGGATAAAGTGTGGTAAATTGGGGTATGAATGACAAATCCAACCAGGGGCACGGAAATGGAATCTTAATTGAAACATTTTCAGATACTGTAACATCACTTGATGAGCAACAGCCCTCTATAACTGCAATACTGAAAGCTGTGAAAGAAAACGGAACCCTTGGTACCCCCTGGTCATAGGATTTGATACTAGTGGATACCGTGGCATATTGCACAATGACTCCATCAATCCCAAAGATGCTGATGTAGGCCCCTTGTCCTCAGTCTGAACATTGCAATAAGGTTTAAGAGCATTCTGCTGTCACACCGCGGCAGTTTTTTTATTTTATTTGGCAAGTTAGATATTTTTCTGTTCCTTACTTGTGTGGCTGTTGAAATGTGCAAAGTTAGCAAAACCGGCGCCGGCCGCTGCATTCGGGTGGGGTGGGGCAGCAAAGATGTCAGCACCCAAGTCACTGAGGAGGTCAAACTTCTTATCATGGAGCTGCTGTTGGTGGTTGTGTCCACGGCTCACAACTGGAGACTGATGGAGAAAAAAAGACTAATTTTAGTAAACATAATGTTGCAGCCTTCTCATTTTGTTCCTGATCTCATATTCATCCAAACAAATCACAGTTAGGGCAAAGGGATGAAAATTATGGACTACTGCTACGAAATCTGCAACTGTTGGGTACAGTGTTGTGGAGCATAGAATCATCCGCCTTCTCTCATAAAGGATGGCCACTGCCACTCCTTTCCCATGCAATTGGAGAATTCTTAAAACTATTATGTTAGCTGATACTCAGGTACATAACTGTACCAGAGACCACAACCAGAAATGATCAAAGTAAACCAGCATGTGACATGTGACAATCTCAGGAAAAAAAATGTATAAAGAATCTTTTCGAAGCAACAATGACAAACTGCTTATCTAGAATCTTTCTCATGCCAGAAAATAATTTTCACATTTTACTTAGTATTCACCTGATTGGGTGGGGTGTTCTTGTTGAGATGTAGAGAGGGGGCTGACTCTCCCAGTAGGGATTTTAATGGTCTTACTTCCGGGGTGCTGCTTGTACTGCTGTTTGAGGAGCCAGAGATGGAGGCATGGACTGATGCCACTACTCTGGCCTGTTCGGGAGGTACGTACCTTGAAAAAAAAGAAAACATTTACCTCAAAAACTTTAGAGCGATTGTGTAAAAATGTAAAGGGAAATATTTCAATTGGCCAGGCAAGTAATTGAGGTCAGCGATATGTATATTTGTGAGAAGCAGGATTAAGCCTTTGTAATGAGCAAAAGAGGCTTGTTGAAGCATGCACTGTTTTCTCCACTGCTCTCATTTCCAGCAGCCTACAGTCTGAGCATCAGAGCAAGCTCTACCTATACATTTTTCATGAGTTGCGTTCTATAAATTAATATCCGAATTTTCACAAAAAGCAGAGAGAAACTATTTTCAAGAAGCATCTCAAACGTTTGTGTTTAACTGCATAAATCTGCACTTATACTGACTTAACCCACCTTTCTTTGTCATAAAACTGATATTTAACTTATTTCAGTTACTATAATGTAATTGCTCCCCATTAATAATGATTCTAACGCTAACAAGTTTTCCAATACTTTACTACAGTTAAACCTTTGGCTTCGTAGAATCGCCTCGTCGTGCACACAGAGCAGCTTGGCGGTAACGACCTACATTCGCTGCCTTTAAACAGGGGTATTTGGTGGCTTGCTGGAGGGTAAGCGCTATGAGCTTCCTTGGAGACATTCCACACCAAAAGGAAGAAAAACACACAGGAAAGCTACATGTCTGCACAATCCTGTTCAGACACCTAAAACCCTACTTACCATCGCTTCTTCTCATATTTCTCTTGAAGGAACTCCTTAACTTTCTGTGGTTCTCTGAAGTCTGGTACTGAGGAGGTTCTGTCGTCGTAAAGACCGAGCCAGATCTGTTTACATACCTGAAGCATACACAAGGGAAGAAGTGGCATTTGGGTTGAAAATATCTTTACCACACCAAACCACACATAGAGCTTTTCACTGGACTCAAATGGTTGGTTTTTACATTTCTGAGGTAAACTAAAGCGACTATAGGTCTGGCTTAATATTTAAACATTGAGTGCTCCTGTGTTCTTTGTATGGGAAGAAAAGTTTATGACAGCTTCCTCATATAAAGGTCAGTCTCACCTTTCACTGACTTTGGGTTTTGGACCACATTACTTTTCACTTGTCTTATTTAAAGAAAGACTTGTCAGAATGCTCCATACCTTTAGCTAATACTAAGTCACAAGTATATACCTGAAGCACATTCTGACTCACTTTTTCCCACCATGATTTGAATTTTGAAACTGAAACAGCTGGAAATCTGAGCACTCAGTTTTTTCTGTGCGCAACTGCCCTTCAAGGAGAGAGAAAACTGTGCTTGAGGATTTTACATCTTTCCAGCAGCCTTGATGGGTTTGAGCATCAGCTCCAACCTTCAGTCTCATGTATGACTTCCTGTCGGGCCACTTTGCACCAGCTTTTAATAGGCCATGCTTCCCGGGTGGCATTGCTCCATTTCAGACTACAGTTATCAGAAATGTCTCTTGCCTGGTGAAGAATGTGAAGGACTTTGGTTCCTCCGTGCAACATCAAATTTATAGCCCATCTTTATCGGAATATGATGGATGTGTCAGAACTTAAAAATGAAAACACTCAATAAAGACACTCTGATAACCATATGCATAACTTTACATCTCATTTACCTACTCCAGCATTACTTTGTTGTACAGTTATAAAATTGCAAATATTAAACCATTCTTAAGCTTGCTCTAAAAAAATAATTTCAGTCTTTGAATGGAAAACATTTAGGCCAACTGAATGTTGATCTCCATCTTTGGTGTTCTAAAAAGATGTATCCGTATCTTCCATTTGCCTTTCATTGATTAAAAGTAATACAATGACACTTTATAAAGGGATTATCAGGGAAAAAATGCAGATTCTCGTGACATTCGACTTTATCTATGAGCATCACTGAGCTCCTGTGCTGTTCTACAATGTAAGAAAACTGTAGAAGCCTCTGACTGAACACCCTCTGAATAGATGGTGGGGGAGTGTTGTGCATTACACAGAGTTACTTGTGTTGGACTCATCCTTGCACAATCAGCTCGAGTGGCACGATAATACTTCCCAGCACTGATACGCTCTGCTTTATCAGTTTGTTCAGTTCCTTTTGAGTCACTGGTTGACTTCAGAGTCTGGAACTAATTTCCTAACTGTTGGCAGCAAAGTTTGGAGCATTCTCCAGTGCTGACTAATAAAGGATAAGCAACATCTTGTTGGTGATATTCATGCACCTAAGTTTCCTTAGGATATAGTCTGTTCTATTGCACTTCTGGTCCATTCCTGGGGCCTGGGTGAACACCAGACATGTTAAATAGGTTACATGTGATCTATTTAAGCCATCTAGTAATTCATTATTTTAAATAACTTTTTCTTATTCAGAAAAGGCAGGATAAGGATTGTGACGGAGTACGTCATAATATGTCCGTATGTAAGGAAATAATATTGCAGTGTTAAGAATGGTGGTGTGGTGGTTAGTACCATCGCCTCACTGCAGGGGGGATCTGGGTTCAACTCCCTGGTGGAACCAGGACCTTTCTGTGTGGAGCTTGAATGTTCTCCCTGTGTCTGTGTGGGTTCTCTCTTCCTCCCACCGTCCGAAAACCTGCATGTTAGGTCCAAATTGCCCATAGGGTGTACGTGGTTATTTGCCTTTGTGTGTCTCTGGGTGAACTTGCGATGGAATGGCAGACCGTCGTCTCTTGGCCATTTACTACTGGGATAGGCTCCAGTCCCCCCACAACCCCAATAAGTGGTTCAGAAAATGGATGGATGGATGTTTAGAACATTAGCCGCAGTTTATACAAAGCATCATCAATAAGCGTACTACGTGAGGGCAGAGAAAAGTTCTTACCTCGTTGCCGTGTTTCTGCAAGAATTCAATTTCCTGTTGCGTGAATGTTGTCATGGAAATGGACTTGACTCTATGAGGTGGGTTCAGTCCACGTCTGTGGGAGGAGAATTACAAACTGGGGTCAATTTAATTTTGAGGGCAAAATAAATGACAACCTCATTTGGACACACTCCAGAGTTCACCTCTCTCGATGGGGCCATTTAATTAGCTACGAGCTGACGGAGCACAGAACGATGGGATTATAGAGAGAAATCACAGACATGAATCACAACAGACACATGCTGACAATGAAACAAAGAAGCGGAGGAACGGAACAAAGGAAGTGAATAAAAGACTTCCTTAGCTTACAGTAAATGAACAGAGATTGTCAGGACACCACAATAGTGAACTATCTCCCCCAATATAGAAACTTTCATTATTGCGTTGCACCCATTATCCTAGACAGTTTGGGCTCATTTTTCCACATAAAGTCACAGCTCCTGCAGCCCTGCCCCAAATGAAAAATACCTTCTAACTGCAATTTCTGACAAAGCGCCACCCTCAGTGGCTTTAAAGGAGAGTTTTTTTTCCATGGAGTAAAAACTAATAAGGGCCCGACTGCAAGGTCACCGAGGGTTTTGTTTTAACGGTAACCAAAAAACCTTTTGGATGCAAACAAACTGTGACAAGCTGAGCGTTATCAGCTGCTGCTGCTAAACATTGTCAGCCTTAGAGGGATCTTTAACCATTAACCAAAAATGGTAATATTGGTTAACCTTGGTAAAACAGTAATTTTAAATGCAATTCACAGCACATATCGGTCGATATAAGATATTATCCCTGTTTCATATGCTCGTCTCTTAATTCTTCTCTACAGCTAAATAACAGAGGCAGCATATCAGCAGCTTTTAAATCAAGAGTCATTTCCCCAACACAAACACAAAGCCTCTGTATGTGATGTATTTACTTTAGACAGAACATTCTTTTGAATATAAGGTATAAGCACAAATCACATGAACATTACTACCTTTATCAACCTTATCCTAAGCTAACATTCTTTGTGGTGAAAACATTATGGACCTTTACACCCATTAAGAGAAATACAAAACAAATCAATCACACAGGCCTAATTCATAATGCCCTGAATTGCAGTGTTGTCAAATCTAACTTAGACATTTTACTTGTTAGAATTGTTATTGAAATTCAAATGTGGTGTAAATGGCTCAAATGACACTCAAAAATTAGCCAGGGCTTTGTATGCCTCCATGCACCTGTACAATGAGAGGGATCGTACTAAGGCTTCTCTCGCTTTTAGTTCAGACTTTTTTTGGTCTCAGGCCCCTACAGAATGGATGGAGCCGGACACAGCGACACTGTGTTGATGGTTGACATGTTCAGTTTAGGTGATTTTACTGAACTTACATCAGTATAGTACAATCTGGTACTTAGTACCAAAATTACCGAGTTGTCATCTGAAACAGGTTTCTTTTTTAGATGAACACTGTTTTCTTGAAAGTATCTTAAAAACCTTTCCAGTTTATAAGCACTGTTAAACACGGGTCCTCGAAGGCCGTTGTCCTGCAGGTTTTCCACGTTTCCCTGCTTCAGCACTCTTAGCACAAGCCTGCTAATGGGGCAGTGACATTGAAAAGGTCCACTGAGTCTGAATTCACAAATTCTTTTGGAGTTTTGTGGAAACTGTCTGAGCAATGAGGCCTGAAAAAAGTGTCTGAAATACAAACATTTCATACACCTGTGGTGGTCAGATCCGAAATTGAAATACTAGACAGGGATGCTAAATTATTCACTGCTGTTACCTCTTTCACAGCTTATCATCATCTCCCCCCCTATTCTTTACACATCCACCAATCAGCTGACTGCAACTCGGGGTGTTGCCCATCACAAGAATAACAATTAGCTCTCACAAATGGATGATGTGTGGACACATGGGACTTAGCTTTGTCTATCACCGTTTAGAAAGTCAAGACTACTTTTAGACACATAAAAAAAAAAACGGGGAATTCCTGACAGGGGGGAGTGGGTGTCTGCATATCTTGAAGCAGGTCAATGGGAGCCTATGTGGGGGATTTTTATGGTTAACACCTTGTCAACTTGTGACATAAATGTCACATCTGATTTTGGGAGACAATGAAGGGAAAACTGTTGAAACCCGTTTACACAGACTGTTTCAGGTTAATAATTCCCTCAGTAACAAGAAGCTGCTAAGTCACTAGGCAAAATAAAGGACAAAGAACTGAGAAGGAATGAATCATTCAAATGCAGTTCTGAGAAGAAAAAAAATCCCCCTTCCTCAGTAAGGATTCGGTTTCTCTCCTTTTTTGTAATCGACTCACCAACTGTAAAAAGCAAGAGGAGATAAGGTGCGCGAATGTGAGCTTCAGCGTATTTGTGCTCTGGTGTTTTTCAGCGCCCTGAGGAAGGTGAATGATCAGATCCTATTCACATGAAGATAAAACTAGGTCAACACCAGGGACAAAGTCCCAACGCCCTTAAGGTCTACATATGACGGCATCTCTCGCCACACTGGGGCATCTAATACCAGTTAAATAACTTACTTGCTCTGTTTAATTTACTCTAATTCACAATCAGGGTTTGACAAAAATCACATTTTAATCAGTGTGACCCAATTATGAATAAGCTGTGGCTTACAAACTGTCAAAATATTTCTGGGTCATATCTACACAGCGACACAGTTTGGGTCATTCAATCTCCAAGCTTCTATTCCACAATCTTCATTTAAAAGGGTTTAACATTTTAAGGGAGATTTGAATTGTAATCTAATATATGATCTTATAAATGTGACATTTATCGTTAATATTATTCTACAAACAACTCAAGGTCAGCTTGTTTTGCTGTAAAATGACTATCACATATTGCACTGTAAAATAATTATGATCTCTTAATACCAGGACAGCTGAGCCAGGGAAAACTCAGCTCATTTGCATACTGCAACAGCTCCAGGGCGAGAGAAACTGGCAAGATTAACTCTCTGAAGAATAGAGGCTGGCAAAAAGCCTCACTTAACTGCCCCAAGTCCCTGTAATAAGTCTCCTCTACTGTGGGCAGGTGTGACACATGTCCTATATTTATGTATATATATATACATATATATAAAAAACACACACATATATCATTTGTGACACCTGCCCACTCCCGAGCCTGCCACTCTCTCATCCCAGTTTACTCAGGACAGGCAGGCCGAGTGGGGTTATTTCCTCCCGTGAGAAATTCCTTAGAAAGAAACATTGTGAGTGGCGTTCCTCCGAGGAAGGCCTCCACCTTCGTCAGGAATGTGTTTACATAGCAGATTCCAACACCACCCATTAAATAACCACAAATGAGATCGGGAGACGTTTGCTGAGGTAAGAAGTTGTGCCCCAGAAGATTTTTTTAGCAAATTACATCACTTCTGTTTCGCATTTCAAAGATTACAACAGGTCGCTATTTCACAAACAGAAAGATATGTACAAAAAACCTCTCGAACCCAAGAGTGAAAATTGTTTTTGAATTGCTATTTAAAGAGTTGAAGCTCTGAGTTTGAGATGAACAACTTGTGCATTTCTATTCAAAGGCCTTAAAAAAAGAGCATTGTAGAAGGGTTTTGCTCAGCTTTACCTGAACAAGTTCAAGCAAACGCTTCTATTATTAGTAACAAAACCACCATAAGTGGTCGCATCGCTTGGTGAACTTCGAATGAATATTCAAGCTTCTCATGCAATGGCTTCGCTCTATTCAAATGAAAGGGAACAAGAGAGACAGAGACCTCCCTGCCACTTCCTGTTGCACACACAATATCACATGCTGCTGATGTAGCAGTGCAGTGGGGCCACACCACTTCCTGAGCCTGCAATCACACCCGGCTTCCTGCAAACATCAGTCAGGGAAGAATTAGAGAATTATGATCTCAAACTCTGAAACACCTCCTGACTCACAACATCGACTTTCGTGACGGAGTCTGTTGCGTCTATTCTGGCCATCAGAAACAACTGAGCCGTACAAATTCCTTCACTTCCATCCTAATAACATCTTTGGGAGAATCATTGTAATTATGGCAGGGTGATTTCCATGGACCATTTCAATGAAGCAGAGGGGTTGCAAGTTTGAATAATAGTGGAATATCAGGGTGGGTAGACGAGTGGCATATTGAGTTACCAGTTTGCCACCTGCTGCTGTTTCAGGCATCATCTGAAAGACACTGAACATCCACATACTCTCCACACATCATTAAATTAATTTAACAATGGAATGGCTTCAATGACAGGCTGCAGTAAGACGTTATCTCTGCCCACCACAACACCCCTGCATAAAATGTTACACATTTTATTTTACACACTAATTGGTCACAACATAGGAATGACTTGCACCTTTTTTTTGCTGCATGATACAAAAGAATCAATGAAATGGCTGTAATTCGTCAGGGTTCATGAATAGAATTCCACCTTCTTTAACTATATTCATTCAGTCACTCGATTCATGGAATGTCAACATTTGTTTATGAAACATAAAGCTTTTAGTCAGTGGATGAGCAGGTTCTTTGGCAATATATGGCATGAGCAATAATCAAAAGAAAAAACAGTGTAAGACGTTTTGATTTTTGAAAACGTGTCTTCATGGTAAAGCTGCATTAACATACAAAGAAGTTTACTGTGAGATCCTTCTTAATGTAGTTATTATGTATCACAATGCCTGCATTTTCTATTATTACAACACCACCATTGGAGTTTCTTTTTTATGTGGAAAACATTACATACACGGGCAAAAACAAAACCTCTTTAACGCCAATATTTTACAGCTACATTTAGGTGTTATATATGGAGCTGAAAATGAAGAAATGGAACCCTTCACTAATCCCAAATCCCAAGCTACAGATGCTTGGTTACACAACTGTGCTGCAAGGCTTTAAAGTCACACAAATGCCATATAAAGTCAAAACACAGTTACACTGTGAAGCTCAGTTATAAGTGGGCTGTAAATGAATACAACTGCAAATCTATATATATATATAGATACATATATAGACATAGATATATATACATACATACTTTACAAAGGTGCACAACTATGTAATAATTAGAAATTATGTGTTCTAGATCAGATATAAGGATGTATGGGTGTGCTTAAAACAACTGATGGAAGCATGACTGTCGGTAATCATAATAATCAGCTACATCTTAAAATAACGTTCACACGCCCAGATGTTTGCTGTCGTGTTTGCAACAAAAACAGCCTTTTATTTGACAGCAAACTCCACATGGTAACAATGACTCAAATGGGCATTCACGTCTCTCTTTACATGTTAATTATCCCGTTATGTTAACGACACACTCCGTTACAGAGCGGTGCTTCCTAACGTTTCCAGCAACTGGTAGAGGCAGCTGTTAGCGGTCTTATCTGCAGACCTAGCTTGCAAGTGTCAGATAAGTTCACAGGCTAGCATCGGAAGCTAAAGCCAGCTAGCATCTGGGGTGGTCGCTTTGTGGAGCACCGGCACCCCAGTGAACCCCACCCAAAGCAGCCAGTCAGTGTCACCGCGGCAAAACTCACATTCACCATCACGTTAGAGGGGAGTCTGTCCAACGGTAGCTAGCGCTAACGGGTTTCAGGTGCCCCCTGTAAAACGCTACGCCGTGTGCGCAATGTCGACGCTAAGGTCACTATGCAACTCGGTACTCACAGGATGCCAGAGCAGGAGGTACACACGAAGGAGCCCACGGTCATGTTGGCATAGGTTGGGCCGCGTTGGTCGCAGTCAAAGCACTTTCTATTGGGAGGCAAACTCGTCATTTCTCTCAGCATCTTCAGGTGTTTCTCCTCTTGTTTTCGTTTCGCACTCACCGCCATGGTAAAGGGTATACAGCGCGGTTAAATAAAACGAGAGCAGGTTGTGAGGTAAACGACACGTAAAACAAAGGGCTGTGCTTTTTAACGGTTGTCGGCTCGCGCTAAAGGCAGAGAGGGGATGGGAAGGAGGCTCTGTATTCTGGGCGGCCTCCAGTCTCCTCGATCAGGGAGTCTCGGGCGTTGAGTCAGAGGGACCAAGAGGTTTCCTGACACTCACTTCCGGCTTTGCTGAAATTTCGTCGTGCTGACTGCGCCGCATCTTTTTGGGTCCGGCCCACAAGTGCTTTGCATTCGTAACGTTGTAAATATCCGGCATAGATATGGTTACTCACTGAAATATAAATACTGTATATCTGTATAATTGCAGTATTCAACCACCATTTTTCGCAAATTTGCGTTACTGCATTAGCCTCGAACCACGCGATAAAATCACAATTTCCGTATTCTTGTTAAACTACGGAAAGCCGACTGGAAAGCTACCTGTCACCCCCGAAGGCGATTGAAATAACTATCTTGTCTTCCATGTCGATCTTTGGCTGCTCTTGACAGCGCAGAGATCTTTCTTTAACACACTAGCGCCACAATGCGGCTCCATCAAGTCAATGCTGAATTTCTGGGGCTTGGTTGATGGAATGTGGTTAATCTGAGTAAGAAAAAACGTGCAAACTCATAACGCGAGAGACATGCAAATGTGATCCAGATATATTATCAAGGGAAACTACCTACCCTATTTCCTTTTTTTAAAGAGTTGTTGCATGGTCCAACACACCCTCACTTGTGAATCCAACAGTTGCTGAGGGGTGAATGTTTTTTTGTTAAAGTTAAAATGGTTGGATATAATAGGAGATCAGTTTGCCTAATCGTGCCCTATGTATCTATCTCGATGGAAAAAATGCTATATCATATTCATTCACTATTACAACTAAATATGTCATGGTAATTACTGTAATTTTCATTCTCATTGCTTATCTAGTATGTATGCAACTGTTTTTCAGAAACGCACCAACATTATTTGGCAGGGAATGGACGATTTCAAAATGTATAAATATTCATTATTTATTCATATTATTGACATGAATAACAGAATACAAAAGAAACCAAATGGCAACTGTATTATTTACAGGGAGGATAACTGACTAGCAGAGTTTTTGGTGATGGGCTGTTCATAATTTATCAATCAAAATGAATTCATAGCTAATAAACTTAATTGTTTAATACATTAGCTAATTTACCCTAACATGTTTGGTCTGTTTAATGCAGTGAAAACCAAAATCCTATAACATTGTCACACATCTTACTGAACATAAAAGCTTCCCTGCTCCCCTCATTCAGAGAAATTTTACATTTCAAAAGCCAGCAAACGCAGACCTGATAAGTCCAAGACTGGACTTAAATCCAATTCTAACATGTAGAACCTCTATACTTAGTAAATGAAAATCCTGTCCAACTGGACCCATCGTTTTATTTCATACGCCATTAGAGCTGCTTATTTTTTTCTTAATTACTACTGACAGAATGAAGCAACGCTTGCTGTGGCTGAAGCTGTGGAGAGAAGTCCAAGGGCCTGCGGTTCTCAGTGTAGCCATAGAGTTTGCGCAGTGCCTTGCGGGCTGCTTCTTCCTCGGCTACGATAAGCGTCTCTCCAGGACCGTCAGCCAGGAGCTTCTTGTCACTGAGTTGACACAGAAAAATGAACTATTATGAAGCATTTATTAAATACAGAATTAATTTCCGTCTTAATGTTTATAAAGTTGATAAAGAACTGACTTTATTGTCATAATTTCTTATTGAAAAAATGTTTAAAAAGTGAGTATAACAGTACACATACCTGTACAAGCCAACAAAGTATAGTGGCAGGACAGTACTGGCTCCAGCAGATCTGATGAGTCGAGGTTCTGGTGGAGACATGTTCCTTCTGGCTAGCTCCTCCACCAGGAGTCCCATGGGGTTGACCACAGTCCATAAATCAAACAGGTCCTTTCCAATTAGGTGAGACAGCAGAAAATCCTGGGGGGAACATAGCAGGGGAAAAACAACGTTACACCTATCCAAAAAAACTGCATTAAATGAGAGCATTCAGAATTGACTTACTGTCTTGTAAAAAAAAAATCATCAAGGCTGATTTATTATGATTATCTTACCCGAAGAAATATTCCAGTTCGCTCTGATCCACTACTTTCCAGAAGAGCACCAATCACTGCCATGAAAGTCAAATGGAGCACGTCGTCAGGAACTGGGAACTCCGCACTCATGGTTAGGTCTTCAATGCCGAGATTTGTGGCTGTGTAAGCCACAACATTGGGACTAGACAGATAGCCCACAATACTCTCCACGCCGTTTTCCGGCAGGCTTGGGAAGCTTGCCCTGCACCAGTCAGTCAGGAATCTTTTGGTGAAATCGGTTCCCTTTTGACTCAGCTGAATATTATCCTTTAGAGCTAAAGACACTGTCTCAGATTCCACACCCAGCTCTTTTCTCCTCATCTGTTCCATTTGCAGGTAACAGGGATTGACGAAGGCTGTTTTCAGAAGTTCCAGGGAGAAGCTTTCTTGGAGGCGACAACTGAAAGCTTGAACCTCTGCATGGTAATCCCAGTTAGGCTGCTGCCACCTGAAGGACAGTGAATATGGAACTCACTCCCTGACTTCAGTAAATGGAATACAGCTGTAGCATACACATTTCGATGCAAGTAAGGCAAAAGATGACGTTTTAAAAGCCCAACCCAACCCCAATTTGACGGAACTATGACAACAGTCGTGCAACTGGTTTAATAAAAAAAAAAAAAATATTGTCAACATTCAATATTAAAAAGTCGGACAAATGCCATATAAAAGAGCATTTACACGAAAGGTATTTAAAAAGTATACTAAACAATAATGTGTGTAAACCATAATAAATCGTTGAAAGATATTTTTTAAGTGCCATGGTCACGAAATACGAGAGTGGCCTTGAGTTGCTCTACGGTGAACTCTGGTGTTAGCTAACATTACCGTGGCTTCGGTGGTGGAGGTCCTTCGAGCTTTAACTTCTTAGCCATGATGTAAGTGTACGCTTTCATCCATCGTTTTTTCTCTCGAACCTGTGCAAGCGAAATACTTCTGCAAACACGTTGACAATGAATTCCTAATGTCAGCATATCGCGATTTAATATGTACCCTGCCGCCATGTTTCCGTAAGCAGGAACGTGCAACTGTTAATAATGCCCGACACGAAACAACACACTACATCCGGTCAGATTGAGCTGAGTTTGTGGTTCTTTACTGCCGTAACCATAGAAACAAGCGTAAACCGTAACCAACGTTAACATCCGAAAGGTTTTCGTCGAATACTATATGTAGGATTAAACTACTTTAGATAAAACCTATCTAGAATATAAAGTTAGAATATATTTACTTTGTGTTTCCTTTAAGTCAAGTAGTTTTTTGGGGGGAAAGGTTGTGAAATAGCTTGAATTATTTTATTAAAAGACAAGATGGGAGATAAAGAAGCAACGGGTACTCGGATGGAAGGTGGGGATTCCGGAGATATTATTGAAAAAAGCGGATTACCTGTTCCTACAAATGAAGAAACTCAAGAAAAAGTGGAAAATAAAGAACTTCAAACCTCATCACAAAAGGAAAAGGAAAAATACTGTGGACCTCGAATGACCAAGAAGTTCCTCAAAGACCACTGTAAGAAAAACAAACTGTACTTCACACCTAGTCTGAATGACACACTTTACCTGCATTTGCAAGGCTTTTCCACCATTGAGAACTTGGAGGAGTACACAGGGCTGAAGTGTCTCTGGCTGCAGAGCAACGGGCTGCAACACATCCACAACCTGGATGCCCAGACTGATCTACGGTGCCTGTTCCTTCAGCATAACCTTATAGACAAACTTGAAAATCTTGAACCTCTGAAAAAACTCTCCACCCTGAACGTCTCCAACAACTACATTCAAGTCATAGAGAACATCTCCTTCCTTCCTGAACTCAGCACTCTGCAGATTTCCCAGAACAAGCTGGAAACTGTGGAAGACATAGAGCATTTAAGTCAGTGTCTCGCCATAAGTGTGTTGGACTTGTCCCACAACCGGTTGCATGACCCCAAGATCCTGTCTGTGTTGGAGGCCATGCCTGAGCTGCGAGTACTGAATCTGATGGGAAATGAGGTGGTGAAAAAAATCCCATACTACAGAAAGACCATTATTGTGCACCTCAAGCAGCTGACCTTCCTGGATGACCGCCCTGTGTTCCCTAAGGACCGGGCCTGTGCAGAGGCTTGGGCTGCAGGTGGGCTGGAGGGTGAGCAAAAAGAGAGGGAGCAGTGGGACACGCGCGAAAGAAAAAAAATCCAGGACAGCTTCGATGAAATGACCATGATTAGAAAAAAGGCCCTGGAGAGACGACGCCTCAGAGAATTAGAAGATAAAGGTAAGCGTTTTTCGAATTTGACGACACTGGTCTGCAAAGTTATTATAGGAGATTTCTTTTTTCTTTTTAACTCCCAACATGTTACATTTCATTTCAGAGGAAAGGGAAGCAACATCCAGTCCAGAGGCTGAGGAAAATGACACCCAGATTGTATCGTCTTGCCAAGGAGAGAATGTCCAGCCTACCGTCAGCCTACATGCCCACAAGGAGTTCCTGCAGAGTCAGTCAAAAGAGGGGTCACATGAATATCAGACAAATTGTGAGGGCACATTTGTGGAAGCAGAGCACCCAGGCCATGGGCTTCATGCCGATCAGCACAAGCAAGATGACAATCTGACACAGGCTAAGTCCACGGAAGAGGAGAAACAAAGAGGGAATCCAGAGAACCTGGAACAGGAAGAAGAACTTTTTAGAACTGTTAGACAGATGTTTGAGGCAGATGATAAAGAAGAAGAACTTTGCCCTAAAGATAGCCTTAAAAACAACCAACCTCCTCTGGAAAGGCCACATTTTCCTGAAACATACAAGCTTGTAAAGACACATGGCCCTGGGCCACTAGTGACAGAGCTGGAGGATGAGGAGGATCTAGAAACCATAGACCTCCCACCGAGCAGATCATTGCTAATTGATGACCTGCCGGATCTAGAGGATGTGGATACAGAGGACTTCTCTGAAATGTTCTCTCAACAACTATTCAAGCCCAAAATAGAAGTACTGTCAGGGAACAGTGATGGAGAGGAATCAACCAGAGATGGGAGCATTGGGATTTCCCCCTTTGAGCCGAATAAAAAGTTGTTTTCCTCAGTGGGTTGCTGCCCCAAACCTACTGGGCTCACTCATGATTCTTCTTCACTGGTATACAGAGGGGATGGGAATGACTCTCCCCACCACCCAGAGCCCAAAACCAATCAAACCTCCTCTCCATCACATCGCCTCATCGAGGAGCTCGATTAAATCTTGGTACTTAAATGTTCTGATGTGTGGTTCAGTTCCTTGCAAATTTGTGTTAAACCTTGGTTTGTATTATATTATTGTTGGTTGAAACGCAATAAATATATGACTTGATCTTTTTATTCACCTTTGAAGTCAACTGTTTTTGCTTTTAACTGGGAAAAAAATAAAGCAAACAAGAATTGTAATTTATCTTAACATTACACTATACAATAATTAATGTAGTGTATAATAGTGTTTAATTTGGATGTAGAAAAGAAATCTGAAGGCAGACTGACAAAGACATAAAATATCAGAGCAAAAACCCAAAGTAAATTTAAATGAAAACGTGAAATGAAACTTTTTACATGAATAAATCACAACACACTGGTTTAGTGTATGGTTTTTACTAAGTTTATTATATTTCCATGTCCAAGTCGTATATTATTCTCACTGCAATAAATATTCAGCATGTGGCCAACTATCCCCGTCTTTCTATATTGATAAATTTAGATGAACTGTATCAGTGAGTCGTCCCAAAGCTCTGAGAACCATGAACAAATATTTACAACAAATTATATCCAGCACTGGGCAAAAATATTTGAATTAAAAGAAAAAACATGAGAAAACAGAATAAGACAGGATGAAGTAGGAGTAAAAAAATAAAACTGTACATGTATTAAATAAACAAAATCCAGAATATCAACCCTGTGCGCGACGGGCTTCACACAAGTGCCACGGTCTCCTTACACGGGGACGAAGTGCAGCGAGAAGCTAATATTTGACACAGTGATTAAAGAATAGGGCATTCCTTCTTTGCATTCCTCCGATGGCAGCGAAACCGGTTAGCTTCAGCGTCGCAGCCACACCCACGTGTTGATGAGCCAGAAAGCAGCAGTAATGCTGTACATGATCATCTCTCGCCGCGCTCGCTCCTTGCTCTCCTCCTCCAGATGCTGGAGTCGCCGGTTTAACTTGATGAGCTACACGAGGAGCGGATTTTTTCCCCGTCAGTCACACAGGCTCCACAATTAGCCGCAATAACAGTAATCATTTACTAAACACCGACCTGACGTCGAAGGGTTGTGGCGTCAACCACCGTCATGTCGTCAGAAGTCCCGTCCAGAGAGGGTTCATAAGTGGCCAGGGCGAGCCTGAAAAAGACCGCACATACTTTGAAAATGGCGTAGTTCAAAAAGCCGAATCAGGAGGTACAGGTCAGATGGAGCATATTAGGTAATGACACACAGTTCAGCAATGGCAACACCATACCAACTGAGACGTTTTACAACAGAGGTGAACCGGATTGTGATCCCGATTGAGTGCACACGGCAGGTAAGGGTGAGGACAAGGACAGAAGAAGAGAATGAGGAGCCAGGTGAGGTTACCTGGAGTCGTGCAGGGGGTTGGAGCTCGAAGCCGACCCCCCTCGTAGAGACGGTTTGCTAAAGAGGTAGGGAAAGACAGAGTTGGGAGAGGGAAAACAAGAGATCTAGAGAAACACAGTGGTGAACACATGCACGCACTTTGCATGTCCTTCTCACAACTACAGGAACTATTAGGGCCATCAAGGCTTCTACGACGAGGTATCCCCGTGTTTTTAACTGCCGAGCCTTTCTAAATAGATAACAGCTTTATGGATTTTTTTATGAAGCTTTTCCAACACCACACACAAAGTGAATAATGTGAAGCAATCTCTTTTCTTTCTGCTTTTGCCTAATGGCAACATAAAGATCTCAACACAGAGAGAAAGCTGACCTGAAATCTGAGATTCTATTTAGTCCTGAGAATCTTTTTCCTGAGTGATGAAATAACAAAATGTTTTTCACAGCTGGTTGTTTTAAGCTACACATTTTCAGAACCAGTCAGATTTTGAGCTTCAAGTGGAAAACTCAGCCAACATGATTTTCCTCCATAATGGCAGCATTTGATCTCTCAGAAATTATACAACAAACAGATTTCCTACTGGGGATCAATTGCTTAATTCTGAAGTGAAACCAAAAGTTTAAGTACAATAAAAAGTCGAGCAAGTTGGTCAACTTTCATCACCACACAAAGAAAAAAGAAGAAAATGTACATCATTTGATTAATATATGTACTTATTAATGCTGTTAATGAGAGTTAGAGATAGTTCCTCAGATGTGATAAAGAGAAGCAGCAGCAAAGAAACTAATAAATTCTTTCTGGATGAAGACTAATGAAGTTTATATTACTGTTACTAATAACTATTTTTGTGGCCAGTTTTGAATAAAATGTGATTGGAAGGTCACCTGCGTGGGTTCTCATCCAATACCTCCAGGACCTGCTGGTAGGCCCGACGTGTAGTGGACTGGAGGAAAGATAGAACCCCGCTAGCGCTGTACAGGTTGTGTTCTTCAGCCATGGAGAGAGGGGGGCATGGTTGGACAGTGGCTGGGGGGTGTGAGGTCGCACTGAGTGCCCACCATAAAAAAGGAGCAAATTCATGGGGAAAAGGAAGGAGAGGTCAAAAGAAGAGGAGGAGGAGGAGGAAGGAAAGGGAGAAAAATAAGGGAAAAGATAGTGTCCTCAACTGACTTCACAGAAAGGAAGCACTGCCAACATGATTCGATGCAACAGCCAAAAAACTAAATCTTCCAGGTTCGCAGAGCAATGCAAATATAAACGACTCTAAATTCAGTGACCGATCATCATCTTATCACCATTAACCTATTCAGACCAAACAGCTGTTTAAAAAAGACTTTTAAGCAGGTGTTTAAGGCAGGTTGGTCAACCAAAACTTTTCAATCCTCAGCCTCAGAAAAAATTAAATCTAATAATTTTTTCAGCCTGTTCTGTAAATCACTTTATGTTCACCTGATTATATAACAAACGAAATTGAAATAACCCTCATCTTACTTTGTGCTTGGGAATAAAAAGCTTGCATGTGTTTCTTTAGGTCTGAATGGGTTACGGTCAAATTGGAAGTGGCGATGGACCGGCTAGCATAGAGCAAAACATGATTAGGACATGGGAAATGTCTAGTCACAACTACATTAATCAGTATGACTAAAAACAAGGAAAGTATTTACAATTTTCTGCCTTATCATTAAAGCTGCACAGCATGTAAATAATGCAGTCCAGTGGTTTCCAGCTGTGTTTGTGTATTTACACACTTCCCCCGCCCCCAATCTCCAATTCTCCTCAAACTGAAAAACATTTGTCCTAGAAACGATGAAACGGCTTAATACTGAATGGATTAGTGTCATTAAAAGTATTAACAGAAGTGAATTAAAACTGGAGGTAACAAAGGTTTTGTAAACCAAAAACAGCCAAGCACGCACAGAGCAACAGACAAGCATCCATACGAAGCCAAAGAGGCAGCATGAATAAGCACACGCTGCAGGAGATGAGACGGAGCTGGTAGCAGACTGATAACGGCAGATGGAAACTAACACTCACGCAGAATCGTTGTGGATCAGCTGAGTGTTGTGACGGATGACTGCATTCTCACTGGACGAGCGTTCCCGCCGCAAACGTCCTTGAGGCCGCAACTTTAGGGAACATTAATGACAAATGGTCAATAAGGACATCATTCCACATACGGTTTTCAGAGGAACATTATGAACAGTGTCCCTATTGTTAAATGATTGAATGTTGTGTCACTTACCAATTCCTCATTTTCGGGAGGTGCCTTTAGCTCCTCCTCCATGAAATCCAGTGGCCGCTCATTTAGGGTTAGGACTCTGGGTGGAGTCTTCAGTGACAGAGCTTCTAGTGGCGTTGACTGAATAAGATCCAAGTCTCTAGGTCGGGAAAACTGGTGTTCAGCGGAGTTTCCTGACAAAATGAAGGAGTAAACAAAGAGTTTGAGTGACTCGCAATTTTTCGTCTTATCAACTAATGTGCTCTGCTTTTTGTGAAAAGCTGAAAATACTCCTGTAGCTCTTGAATATTTCTGTTTCACTTCATACCAGCTTAAGAACCAATCCTATCGATGAAATTTCATGCAAGAGCAGGATGAGTTAATTTATTGTTTACCAATAAATTAGTATTGAAAATCTATCACTGCCTGTAACTAAGTTTAAATAGGCAAAGCATTTTGAAGTTGGCTGACAGTTATCAATGATGTATCGATAACTAGTTTCAACCCCGGACAAAACAGTAGGCAGAATATTGTAAGGAATACCAACCGGATATCACAATTCTCTCTGGGACTTCCATTATGACACTATGTTGGTATTCCTGCGATCCAGCAATGGGGTCCTCATGGGAATGAGGAGCCACTTTGAGCATCTCTGGGATGCGCATCCTCTGGCTGATCCCCTCCGTGTAGTCCAGCTCATATTGAATGCGGTTGATCTCCGCCATCTCAACAGTTGGAGAGGGAAATGCTGCTCCACTCATTTGCCTGTGTGGAATTATTTAAATCAACAAAGATAAGTATCAGTTAGCTACAATGAGTCAGGAAAGGTAAATATAAGGAGACCTTAAAATCCAGCTGGCACAACTAAATCAGGCTAAACTACAGACAGATAGCAGAAAGTGAGTCTCTAGTGGGACAAGTGCGCCAGGGAAGGGTTACAGATCGAGACAAAATGCTCGTGACCCCATCATATGATTAAGAGTGTCCTCCTTTTTTCTTTCTGAGGAACATAAGGGACGACTATTAACCACAAAGTAGACAATACTGACTGTAGCACTAATCATCTAAGGAACTAAAAGTAATGTGTATAGAGTACACAATCTGTTTATTAGTTTGACCTAAGTGCAAATACATAGCAACCGTCAACAATCATGTGATAGATATGACTATATTTAAAAAGGTTCGATGGCAATACAACCAGCATGTGAAGAACTCGTATAAATTATTATGATATCATATGATTTAAGATGGACAGCTGCAAAAAAGTGTCTAAAACAACGTAGCTTACCGCCATTTCAGGCTAGCGCCTTTGTAAGACATCTTACCTTTTAGGTTGTTGCTCAAGAACAGCGAAATACCCAATTTATCCGTCTAATCCCAAGCAGCATAAAACGTCGATATATAGTCTGACAGGTTCAGTTATGTTTAAGTAATACAGACAGCGTAGGTGCCAAACATGTCTTTAAACTAGCATATGAGAGGATCCTCCTCTCTTTTAGCTCTTCCACAGTCTCTGTACCTTAAACAGGAAGTGACATTTCCCAGGAAGTTACGTCACTTGTAGCGAGCGCTGAAATAAGATTAAATATTTTTTTACCTTCTTATTTTTCATATTGAAAATGCAAACATGACCAAGAAATAATAAAATAAATCAATAAAATAGTTAAATCAAATCATTAGTATAAACTCCGAATCTATTTTTTTCATACAAATTAAAACGATTTCGCTAATTTAATTTTTGTTTCTTTAGATTGATTGACCATTAATGGTTTATTTAGTGGAACAAATGTCAAGTACATTTTTATAAGACATTTGAATACACAACATTCAGTGAACAAAGCATGTGCTCAAAACTAACTCCTTTGGACCTAGAATTATTGGCGCATCTTGACAGGTCCTGCTTAAAAGATTCCCACATTTTCAACAAGGAACCTTTTCCCGAACAGAATTTACAAGTAAATAAGTCAGTAAAATGATAGTAGAAAATGTTGCCGGCTGTGTCATGTGTGCACATGTCAGTGTCGCGGGGGTTTACAGGGTGATGGCCCCACAAAGTCTGTGGGTGGTGCATTTACACGGAGGCTCTCAAAGACTGAAGTCGCCTCTCTTTTAACCAGTAGCCACAAAGGGAGTATCGGTGGATTAAGGAAAACTTCTCTGCCATGACTAAAGGCAGATCACCATAGATGTCAAGATGGTCATGATTTAACGGACAGAGAGACTGTGTAGACCGAGTCCTTCTCTCTGCGTTTGTAACTTACAAGAATTATGTTTCCAAAGATTTTCATTTTGAGTGTGATGTTATTCAGCACTATGCATATCGCCTCACCTTTGGAGCTGCAACTTGGCATGTAAGTAAAAACTTCACGTGTTTAGGTATTATTTCTAGTCTCTTATTAAATTATGAATGGGAAAGTTTTGTTTTTGGGCTGCATGTTTTGAGAGGAGCCATAAGAAGGGTCCTAATTGATTTAAAATAACAGTGAATGGATCCAAGTTTCACAAATAACCAAAGTTCTGCTTCTGTTTAATGTTATTGTCGCTTTGAAGAGACTGTCATCTGCATAGTTTAACCACCCTTTGTGTTATTCTCTAAGGAGCCCACAAGGGGTCTCACCTTTTAGACCCCACATGAGTGCGGATGTGTTTTTTTAAAATAACATTTTGATTGTGTTTGATAAATTTCCTTTGGGAAGTGATGTCTTTAAATAGAACTCTTGCATACGTTTTTAAATGCGCTTTATAGGAGATTATAAGCGGGGTGTAGTTTTCATTACCGGAGATTCAGAGCACTTCCTCTAATTAACTCAAAGCTGCTCTGTATTGAAGCCAGATGGTCTCAAGAGGAGGAAGTCTCTGGGTAGTTTACCTGCATAAACAGCCCAATACAAATGTCAAACCTAGACTCTGCAGTACAGTTCATGCTTAAATGTGTTTTAGTGAAAAGTACATGCACTCAGATTTATTATAGTATCTCCTCTGTTTGTTAAAAATGTGCTGAAGATAGTCTTCAAATTAGTCTTAATTTCTGTAATTAGACACGTTCAAGTAAACAGGAGTCTATTGCAATTATTTAACATAAACATGCATAGGAGCTCAGTTCATATTTTAATTGCGTCTGTCCACCCCCTGCACAGGCCGAATGTCTGCGCTGATCAGGAGATGTCTGTGGTGGGGAGACAGCAGCCTTGTGTGCAGGCTTTTACACGCACGGTGAAGGTGTGGAAGCAGGGATGCGAAAGCCACACATGGTGTATGGACTACGAGAGGAGGCAAGACAAATGTCAATCTAGCAGTGCAAATAATTTTTATGTGCTTAACTGATTCTCTAAAAGACACACCTCAAAAGAGTAGTTGTAACATCAACACTTCTCTTGAAGTAGTTATATATATTATATTTATTAGGTTCTTGGGCAATTGCATTTACTTTTGCCAGTCACACAAACCAATTGCATGACCAGGGTGCAGGGTTTTTCTCATTGATTAACCATCAATAAGTAACTTTGGTTTAGTTTAATCTGACCATTCTAATATGGGGCTGAAATCCTCATATGTTATTATTATGTAAAAGAGATATAGAGGACAGATTTCTAACTCACATAACAATTGGCGAATACAGCTCATTATGTTCTATTGTCATCGCCAGGAGACAACTTCAAATTATATGAAAAGTTAAACTGTTGTCATTTTATGAAATGGTTGAGGAGGGAAATAAATGAAAAGGAAACAAATGAATAACATGATTATGTTTAGAATTTCTTATCACACTAACACACTAAAAATGATGGGACTAACAGAACATTTTCACCACAGGACTGCCTACTATACAGGATACAAGCAAGTGTATAGTATGAATATGCACCCAGTCATTAAGTGCTGCCCTGGCTGGACCCAGAAGGATAATGAGATGGGCTGTTTACATCGTGAGTAGTCGAAGCATTTTATCAACATACTTTATGTATACTTTAAGCACTTTGAATTGTCTTGTACACAAAATGTGCTATACAAATAAACTTACCTAATGTCAGATGGACTACTGTGCAAAACTCTTGAGCCCTTCTCTCTTTTTTTGCTTCCGGAAAAAGTGGAAGTAGGTGTGAATATGATTGGAAATATTGTAAATAAGATTAAAAAAACAGGGCTCCAATTCTTGTTTAACAAGTTTTGTAAGTGGATTCTCAGAATGCCCACCTTTATGCTTCAGAACCTAAAACCTCCTAAACAAGACTTCCTTTAAATTTGTTTAAGCAGTGAATGGTTCTCAAGGCTTTTCAAAGGACATTCCACAGCTCTTCTTTAGATGCTGGCTCCCTTTTGTTCTATTCTCTGTCAAGATGATCCCACACTGCTTCCATAATGTAGCTGTCTGAGGATTCGTCCCTCCATCAGACCTGTGACCACTGATTTTCTGTTTAGTTCTTGTGTCATTTTTTGATTCTTCAATGAAGCCACTTTTAAATGAGGCTTCTGTGAACTCAGATGCATGTCTCAGATTCCGTGTCCAGTATTTGTAGATTTTTTTTGTAGTTCTTAAGCATACCCAATTCACAAAGTGTTCATCTTGTGTAGATTACTGCTTTGTGCATCGTCTTGTTGGTACAAAAATACTTTCCATGCATCAAACTGTGTTTGGTATTATTATTCATAACTGGAACTCAGAAAAACATTAGACCAAACGCTGTGTTTTGCAACACAAATCTTTAAATAGGGTTGAACATTAAAACTTGCTACTGAAAAGGTCAGAACACTCGATTGAAAATGTAATGAGAAAAGATGGAAAAGCTTTCCATAAAAAACACTTTAAGACTGTACAGCAGATGTTGGCTCATCGGAAACAAAATAAAAAATAACCTGAGTGGGAAGCTGAAGAATTTTGCACGACTCTTCATTTTCATAAGAAACTGGAATCCTGAAATGACACATATTCAACACCTACAAATGTATGTATATAATGTACACAGGTATTATTATTTATGCAATTTTGTGGTATTTGTAACACAGGAATATGCAGTGCTGATACTTGTTTCAATGGAGGGAGATGTACCGACACGGGGGACCATCTTTGTCATTGTCCGACGGGCTTTAAAGGGACTCAGTGCCAATATGGTGAGTTTTGATTTGCTGTCAATGGATACCTCTATAAATAAATTTTTTTGTCATCCCCTGCATGACACGCGCCCTGTCTTGAAATACAAATGTATGCTCAGCTTTGTTGATTGGCCAAGTCACTTATCTTTAGAGGTCAACGTCACCATGAAGCTTTAATTGGTCTCTCTCAGACCTCATGCTTTCACTTTGATAAAGCAGAAGAAACCTGTTGGGGCTGTGATTAGATGGGGCTGCCCTGTGGGGCCTCAGGTTAGTTCAAGATTGAAGAAATGCTTTCTGGGAGGAATGTTGGGACATTTTGGCTGGTACTAAGGTACTAAGGGTATCTTTATTTATGTATTTATTTGGTAAGAGATAAAGTGAAAATACATTATTATTCATCATGCAAACTCATGGTACATTTTTGTGAAAGCCCAGTCCAGGGCTCTTGGAACTGAAACATGTGCACATTCTTGTTCTGTTTGACAGTTTTGAGTTAAATTCTGTTCCAGTTGATTATGCATCTGCGTGTCAGTGTGAATGATAGATGCATGGCCACTCAGGGAATAGATTTCAAGATTCACCACAGCTGAAATATATTTCTACCCATGTTTCTTGTCTTTGCATTAAGTTTTCTTGTGGCTGATGAAAGTCTCATAGTTGCATTACAGTTTTGAGAGTGTTGTTTGTGTGTGTAATACATGTGTTAGCTGATAACTGATCCCTTAAAATGTGCCTAATATATTTTCATTCCTTACTCACCTGCTTAAAGGTTCCTGAAACATCATGAACTTTTATTAAGATGGCAATGTTTTGGATCTGAACAAGAATGCACCCCAGAAACAGGAAGCCATATTCAATTAAGTTCAGCCTCAGGCTTTTATATCACTTACCAATGAAGAGGGCTGGAGTTCTCTCACAATTAAATGGCAAACATCTGCTGCCGAGTTGACTCAAAACCTAATCGTCTTTTGTCTCTCTGGAGTGTCATGTTGTTACCATCACTGCCTTTTCTTCCTACTGTCCAAAGCCATGATGTCTGTGTCAACACATAAATGGGAAGAGGGGTTGTTTTGTTTTAGAAGACTCTCACAGAGACAGAATGGTGTTCAGGGTATATTTGGCTTCTACCCCCATTTGCTTGCACACACACTCACGCACACACATGCACATACGCTCAGGCACACACTTCACATCTGACTCCTTAAGTTTCCTGTGAGGTACATGCCTGCATCTGGCCTGCCAGAAGTTTGAAGCAGACCTTCCTCCTGCTACATTTTCACAGGGATGTGTTGGTGTTTATTGGAGGCAGCACTTATATTTGCCGTGACATGGACTCTTTGGTTTTCACGCATCAAGGCAACTGATTGGGAACAGAGAAATTCAAACTAATCCGAAAAGATCTGTTTCTCCCTTTTTCTTTCACATCCT